AGAATCCCTTAGAAGAAATGGAGTAGCCATCACAGTAAACAAGAGTCCGAAATGCAGTACTTGGATGCAGTCTCAAAAACAACAGAATGATCTCTGTTTCCAAGGCAAACCATTCAATATCACAGTAATCCAAGTCAAGCTGAAGTTGAACAGTTGTAAGATGACCTACAAGACCTCTAGAACTCACGTCCAGAAATGATGTGCTTTTCATTATAGGGGACTGGAATACAAAAGTAGGAAGTCAAGAAATACCTGGAGTAACAGGTAAATTTGGCCTTGGAGTACAGAATGAAGCAGGGTAAAGGCTAATAGAGTTTTACCAAGAGAACAGACTGGTCATAGCAAACACCCTCTTCCAACAACACAAGAGACGACTCTACACATACACACCACCAGATGGTTAAAACCGAAATCAGATTGATTATATCCTTTGTAGCCAAAAATGGAGAAACTCCATACAGTCAGCAAAAACAAGACCAGGAGCTGACTGTGGCTCAGATCATGAACTCCTTATTGCCAAATTCAGACTTAAATTGAAGAAAGTAGGGAAAACCACTAAACCATTCAAGTATGACCTAAATCAAATCACTTATGATTATACAGTGGAAGTGAGGAATAGATTCAAGGGATTAGATCTGGTAGATCAAGTGCCTGAAGAACTATGGACGGAGGTTCACGACGTTGTACGAGAGACAGGGATCAAGACCATCCCTAAGTAAAAGAAATGAAAAATGGCAAAATGGCTGTCTGAGGAGGCCTTACAAATAGCTGTAAAAAGAGAGATGAAAGGCAAATGAGAAAAGGAAAGATAAACCTATTTGAATGCAGAGTTCCAAAGAATAGCAAGGAGAGATAGGAAAGCCTTCCTCAGTGATCAGTGCAAATAAATAGAGGAAAACAATAGAATGGGAAAGACTAGAGATCTCTTCAAGAAAATTAAGAGATGGGAATTCCCTGGTGGTCCAGTGGCTAAGACTCTGCACTCCTGATACAGGGGGGCTGGGTTCGATCCCTGGTCAGGGAACTAGATCACACATGCCACAACTAAGACTCTATGCAGTCAAATAAATAAAAATAAATGTTAAAAAAAAAGAAAATTAGAGATACCAAGGGAACACTTTGTGCAAAGGTGGGCACAATAAAGGACAAAAATGGTATGGACCTAACAGAAGCAGAAGAGATTAAGAAGAGGTGCAAGAATACACAGAAGAACTACACAAAAAAGATCTTCATGACCCAGATAATCACAATGGTATGATCACTCACCTAGAGCCAGGCATCCTGGAATGTGAAGTCAAGTGGGCCTTAGGAAACATCACTATGAACAAAGTGTGGAGGTGTGATGGAATTTCAGTTGAGCTATTTCAAATCTTAAAAGATGATGCTGTGAAAGTACTGCACTCAATATGCCAGCAATTTTGAAAACTCAGCTATGGCCACAAGACTGGAAAAGGTCAGTTTTCATTCCAATCCCAAAGAAAGGCAATGCCAAAGAATGCTCAAACTATTGCACAGTTGCACTCATCTCACACACTAGAAAAGTAATGCTCAAAATTTTCCAAGCCAGGCTTCAATAGTACGTGAACCGTGAACTTTCAGATGTTCAAGCTGGATTTAGAAAAGGCAGAGGAACCAGAGATCAAATTGCCAACATCCACTGGATCATCGAAAAAGCAAGAGAGTTCCAGAAAAGCATCTATTTCTGCTTTATTGACTATNTTGGAGAAGACTCTTGAGAGTCCCTTGGATATCAAGCAGATCCAACCAGTCCATCCTAAAGGAAATCAGTCCTGAATGTTCATTGGAAGGATTGATGCTGAAGCTGAAACTCTAATACTTTGGTCACCTGATGCGAAGAACTGACTCATTGGGAAAGACACTGATGCTGGGAAAGACTGAAGGCAGGAGGAGAAGGGGACGACAGAAGATGAGATGGTTGGATGGCATCATCAACCTGATGGACGTGAGTTTGAGTAATCTCCAGGAGTTGGTGATGGACTGGGAGGCCTGGCGTGCTGCAGTCCATGGGTTTGCAAGGAGTCAGACACAACTGAGCGACTGAACTGAACTGAAAACTTCCAGATGTACAAACTGGGTTTAGAAAAGGCAGAGGAACCAGAGATCAAATTGCCAACGTTAACTGGATCTTAGAGAAAGCAAGGGAATTCCAACAGAACATCTATACTCCTGCTTCATTGACTGTCCTAAAGCCTTTGACTGTGTGGATCATAACAAACTGTGGCAAATCTTAAAGAGATGGGAGTGCCAGACCACCGTACCTGTCTCCTGAGAAACCTGTAAGTGGATCAAGAAGCAACAGCTACAACTTTAAATGGAACAGCTGACAGGTTCAAAATTAGTAAAGGAGTACTACAGGGCTATATATTGTCACCCTATTTGACTTACTTGCAGAGTACATCATGTGAAATGCTGGTCTGGATGAATCACAAGCTGGAATCAAGATTGCTGGGAGATTTATCAACAGCAGATATGCAGATTATATTCCTCTAATGGCAGAAAGTGAAGAGTAAAAAGAGCCTCTTGATGAGGGTGAAAGAGGAGAGTGAAAAAGTTGACTTGAAACTCAACATGCAACTAAGATCATGGCATGCAATCCCATCACTTGATGGCAAACAGAAAGGGAAAAAGTGGAAACAGTGATAGGTTTTATTTTGGGGGGCTCCAAAATTAGGGTGGATGGTGACTGCAGTCATGAGAAAGACTTTTGTTCCTTGGAAGGAAAGCTATGAGAAACCTAGACAGCATGTTAAAAAGCGAAGACATCACTTTGCCAACAAAGATCTGTATAGTCAAAGCTTTGGTTTTTCCAGTAGTCTTGGATGTGAGAGTTGGACCATAAAGAAGACTGAGCCCTGAAGAACTGATGTCTATGAATTTTGGTGCTAGAGTAGACTTTTGAAAGTCTCTTGAAATACTAGCAGATCAAACCAGTGAATCCTAAAGGAAATCAACCCTGAATATTCATTGGAAGGACTGATGCTGAAGCTGAAGCTCCAATACTTTGGCCACCTGATATGAAGAACTGCTCATTGGAAAAGACCCTGATGCTGGAAAAGATAGAAGGCAGGAGGAGAAGAGGGTGACAAAAGATGAGATGGTTGGATGGCATCACTGACTCAATGCACATGAGTTTAAGCAAGCTCCGGGAGATGGTGAAGGACAGGGAAGCCTCATGACCTGCAGTCTATGGAGTTGCAAAGAGTCGGACGCAACTGAGCGACTGAACAACAACAAAGTTTTGGCACTTGTAAAGAATCTGCCTGCCAATTCAGGAGGTGTAAGAGACGTGGGTTCTTTACCTCAGTTGAGAAGATCCTCTGAAGTAGGAAATGGCAGCCCACTCTGGTATACTGGCCTGGAAAATCCCATGTCCAGGAGTCTCGTGGGCTACAGCCCTTCAGATCACCAAGAGTTAGACACGACTTTAGTGAGTGAACAACAAGTACATGATATTGATTCTTCAGTTTTCTGCCTATAACATTTGACCTTGGCTTCTGTTGTTCAGGGAATAATGCCAGGAAAAGGGAGGTCTCACTGCTCTGGAGGGTTGGATTTAGGTTCTCATACTGCTTCTTGTACTTACTATCATCCCATCCCTCTATCTTAATGTTTCTCTTGCAAACTTTTGTCTGCAGATTGCTGGTTACATCAATTCCTAAGCTTTTCATGAATTTTGGCCTCATACTGACTTTCTTTCTAAACACTTCTGGGTTAAGTTTCAGTTTAGTCTGGTCAGTTAAATCAGTTTCAAATGTTTACCCACATGTTTTTCCATCTTATGGAATTTTGTTCATGTTGTGTCTGCTGTAGGTTCTTTTTCTGTTCCCTCTGTCCTTGTGGGCATATACTTTTTAGATTCTTTTACTGTCATTTTAGTTGCATTTTTGAATTATTGGGTGATAAATTACTATCTCCACCATATTTAACTGGAAATCTTATGCAGACTTTTTTCTATTAATGCAACATTAATGCCTAGACACTCACATTTCCCCATTCTCCCGTACCGCCTCAAAAAGGGCTTACATGCCCTGTATTGCAACTTGCTTTTTAAAAAGGACCTCTATATAATGGGTTTCTTTCATTTTTGAAGCTCTATTTTAATGTTTTTAAAGTTAAAATTTTAAACTTTTAGATGTATATGTAACTTATTTCATCTGTGCCCTTTTAATGAGCACTGGGATTGTTTCAAGTTTTGCTGCTCTTACCATCCTTTTACATACATAATTGCCTTCTTGTGACAGAGCTTTTGTAGGATTTTTTATTAAAAAAATTTTTTTTTTCCCCCATACCACACTGCTTGCAGGATCTTAGTTCCCTGACCTGGGCCACCACAGTGAAAGTGCCAAGTCCTAACCAGTGGACCACCAGGGAATTCCCTGTAGGAGTATTTTAGACATCAAGTCCTTGGTCACTGGGTATTTGCATTTTAAATTTTAATAGATCTTGCCAAGTTGCCCTTAAAAGAAAAATAAAATGGTGGTTCCAGTTTATACCCAGATAACATAGATCGTGGTAAAGATCATGGATTCTGAAGCCTGGCTGCCTAGGTTTGAGTTCTGCCTCTTCGACTCATTTGCTGGATGACTTTGGCAAATTCCATAACCTCTTTAGTTTCCTCTTCTGTAAAGTTGGAATAAGAGCAGCAGCTCTTTTGTAGAGTAGATGTGGTTTTAATAAGGTAATCTGTGAAAGGACTTAGACTACCGCCTAAACAATGCAGAATAGTGCACCCTCTCAGCTGCTGTTTTTGTGTCTGCTAGGATCTCACCACAAAAATATTCTGTATTTTCTTCTCTAGTTCTCTCTGTGGAATATAATGAAAATTTCTTAGGAAACCTGTGAGAAACTCTTTTAAATTATATTTTACATTAAATATTACAGGTTAAAATTCTTATGTAACTTAGCCTTTTGTATTCATTTTGCACTGTTAAAAACATCTTTGACATATCTGTTGATTTGGTTTTGTTTTTGTTGCCTAGCACTCCCACCAAAGGCATAGAGAACAAAGCTTTTGATCGCAATACAGAATCTCTCTTTGAAGAACTGTCTTCAGCTGGTTCAGGTCTAATTGGAGATGTGGATGAAGGAGCAGATTTACTAGGTATGATAGTTTATCTGAAATAGTATCATACTGTTTTAAAAATAGATTTTTTAAATGATATAATGGAACGTTTCTTTAAAATGTCCCTAACTGGGGCTTCCCTGCTGGCTCGGTGGTAAAAGAATCCGCCTGCCAATGCAAGAGACCCCGGGCTTCTCCCTGATCTGGGGAGATCCCGTGCGCCACGAAGCAACTAAGCCTGTGAACCACGACTACTGAGCCTGTGTTCTAGAGCCTGGAGCCGCAGCTACTGAGCCCCGTGTGCCTTAGAGCCCGTACTCCACAAGGGAAGCCACCACTTGAGAAGCTTGTGCACTACAACTAGAGGGTAGCCCTTGCTCGCCCGCAACTAGAGAAGAGCCTGCAATGCACATCAAGGACCCAGCACAACCAAAAATAAATTTTAAAAAAAGTCCCTAACTGTCCAGTGGGGCAGTTATTGTGCTTTTAAGTAATTAGTAGGAACGTATTCTTTGAAATCATGAAAGTTTTAAATGAAAATGTCCTTCACCTGTGGATGCATTTAGAATTGAATTGCTTTTTAGTTTGTATTTTGAATTCACATACACAATTTATTGAACTCCTTCCTGCTATGTTCTGAGAACAGTATTACATATAAGAAACGCAGTGATATATGTATACATGTAGTTATATATAGATGTATAGATTTTATGGGTTGATGGATAGTTACTCCCTGGCTTAAATAGAGTTCATTAAATTCACTTGACTTTTCTGATATTTCACAGAGTATTCTGTTTTAGCTTCTTGAGAAATATGTTAGAGTTTGTGTTGTTGAAGATTATCTGGTTTGAAAAGGATACTGTATTTGGCTCTTCTACTGTTGATCTGGTTTGTTGTTGTTGTTCAGTTGCTAAGTCTTGTCCGACTCTTTACAACCCCATGGACTATATAGCCTGCCAGGTTCCTCTGTCCATGGGATTTCCCAGGCAAGAATGCTGGAGTGGATTGCCATTTCCTTCTCCAGGGGATCTTTCTAACCCATAGATTGAACCCTGGTCTCCTTCATTACCAAGCAGATTCTTTACCGCTGAACCACCAGGGAGTGAATGACCTTTGCCAAATATCTTAACCTCTCTGGGCATTAGTTTCTTTGTGTATAAAAAGAAAGACTTGAGCTCTGATTCAGGGGTTGGATAGGCTGTGACTCCTGGATTATTTGTGTGTACAAATAAGTTTTATTGGGACACAGTCACACTTTTTAAAATGTTTTATCTTGATTTTGGGCTTCCCAGGTGGCACAGTGGTAGAATCTGCCTGGCAGTGCTGGAGATGCAAGAGATGCAGGTTCAATCCCTGGGTCAGGAGGATCCCCTGGAGGAGGAAATGGCAACCCACTCCAGTATTCTTGCCTGGAAAATCCCATGGATAGAGCAGCCTGGCAGGCTGCAGTCCATAAGGTCTCAGAGTTGGTCAGGATGGAACACACACACACACACACACACACGCACACACACACACACACACACAGACACCCACACACAGTAGTTGCTTTTGCCCCACAATAGCAGAGTTAAGTTGTCCTTAACAGGGATTATGTGGTTTACAAAACCTAAAATATTCACCATCTGGGCCTTTACACAAAAAGTTTGCACCTGCTCTAAGTGATCTTTATAGTTCCTTTGAACAATAATTACATGAATGAGATTTCCCTGAAGGTCCAGTGGTTAAGACTCTGTACTTCCACTGCAGGGGTCATAGGTTCGGTCCCTAGTGGGTGAACTAAGATCTTGCAACTTGCACCATGCAGTCAAAAAAAACAGAAAAAGTTTACATGAATCTGACTCTTGTCAATTAGCTTTGATGTGCCTTTCTTTATAACTTAAGACCTTATAGAAATTGAATACATTATAGTATTAAAAATCTATGCCTTTGGAATGGATTCTGGTCTCCAAACATTTTTTGTATCCCTTAGTAATTCAGTATAGATTACACTATTCTTAAAAGGTGCTGTTTGTTAGTCTTGTGGATATAGAGAGTTGTTGCTTACATTCATTTATGTCAAATTTATTGTTACCAGTTATGTCCTCAATAAGCATTTTTTGAAGGAAACATAGTTTCTGTCTACAGAGAGCTCATAGGCTTTTTTAAAGTAAAAGAGATTGAAAGTACATTGATAAACTTAGTCAGGTATAGACTCCTACCACTAAAGTCTAAGTAAAACATTGGAAGCTTTGAATGAACTTGCATTTTTCAAGGATGTCTTAAGGATTAATTCTTAAGAAGCAGTCCATTTTTACATTTAAATTTATGCTCTAACATTAAATTGTTAACATTACAATGTGCATGAAAAGTTCCTTTAAGATTTGACATAAGAAACTGATTTCCTGCCAAAATTGAGGAATAGATGCAAAAAAAGGTTAGAAAAAAGAATTTTTAATGTTTAAACAAAAACTCAAATTTATATACAGTAAAGCACAGTTTTTTGTTTTGACAAATGCATGGGATTGTATAGCCACTACCAGAATTAATATATATCACCTCTCAAAAAATTCCTTCATGCTTCCCCTTGGTAATTTACCAGAGTGAAGTACTTTTTAAATGTACTTTTAACCCTCTGCTTCCTTATAATCCAGTATTGAATAATATCATTATTGAAGTTGGTGGCCCTAAACTTAATTTCTTGTAAAGATGTAAGAAGCCACATAATGCTTAGAAATAATTGTCATCTTTTAAGTAAAATATTTTTCCGAAAGCTTCCATTTTTTAAGTCAGAAAATTAAGCAAAATAAATAGCTTAAAACAAAATCCTGATTTCCTTTCCACTTTGAAAAAAAGAAATAAACTGTAAACTACTCTCTTTTCCCTTTTACAGATATTTATATATTTACCTGGAAAATGTTCCAGATTTGAAGTTTTAATATATTACCTTAAGTGATTTAAGCGTATATGAATACTTTCGGTCAAAGATGTTAAATGAAACCTCCAATGCACGTAGTTGTTCCTTGGCTTCTCTTCTGTTTTATTCAGCAATAGTAATTGCATTGTAATACTAACTGGAACATGGTTAAACTGATAAAATTATTTCCCAAAGTTCCTTAAAATTGTCTTTAGTTGATAAATAAGTTCATTTCTATAACTCATTATTCATTTTACAATTACTGTGTTATTGTAAAACTCTTCCCTGGTCTTTGTAATCATTATGCATGTACTCAGTTTTAGATTACTTTTTTCAAATTTTAATAGTTTAAAAAAGATAATCCCCCACAGTTTGTCCTTTATCTTGATTGATATCTCATTCTTTGACTTTATTTCCAGTGATTCTTTTCTCCATTCACTTTTGTCACTTATCCCCCATGGCCATATTCTAGAACTTGTGAATCATACATTCATTCATGCTATTCTTGAGATTTTCTTTAATTTTCTTACTATTGATTAAATTTTATTTTTTCAATTTCACTATTTTAACTAACTTCTTCCTGTTATCATTTAAACATGTTCCGGTCTTTACCATTTTAAAATAAAACTACTTCCCTCTTCTGACTCCATATCTTTAGTACCTTTCCACCAGATGACTCTCCTTCCATTGCCAACCATGGTTTTTTGCAGCAATATCAGTGAGGCAGGTGTCTATTATGTGCCTGGCACTATTCTAGATTGATATACCAGTGAACAAAACAGACTTCTTGAAAGTGTGTCTACTTTTAACAGGCAGGATTTCCCTAGCCTCACTTGCACCTCGTCTGACTGCAGTGTCATTCTGCCCCACACTAACCTTCCCAGAAATAGCCTTCTTGTTTGCTATCTCCAGCAGTTCCTTCTTAGTTATTTCACATGACTTCTCAAATTGCATTTGTCTTTAAACAGCTTTGCTGTGGGTTCTGTCCTATCAGAGTTCTCTGTATTCTTTCCTGCCTCTGATGATTTCTTTTCAGTCTTTGCAGGATCCTTTCTCTGCCCAGCTTTCAGATGTTCCTAGTCCAGGCTTGTTTCCATGTTTGGGATGTCTTATTTGCTCTTGCTTTTTCTGGGTTTTCATGGCTCATTGCTCTAAACTTTTTCTCTCCATCTAAGATTTTTTTCTATGGCTCCAGACTATTACTTCCAAACAGCACTCTAGACCACTTCTAAGATGATTTGTAGAGCTTTGTAGCTAAAACTCAGTTCATCAACATCTTTATGTCCCCCAAGGCTGTTCTTATATCAACATGTGTCAACTCAGTGAATGACCTCACCATCAACTCATTTTTCCATCCTAAATCTCTCTCACTTCCCTCAAAACCAGTCATGAGGATTTTTTGCCTCCTTCCTTAAAAAAGAAAAGTCTATGTATCTGTTTCTGTATCTCCTTCTTGCCTCTAACTAAATGGCATACCCTCCTCTGTGAGTTCTGCCTCAATCCCCTTGTTAAAGCTCAGTTGTTTGGAAGCATTCCCATAGCACTACATTTATTATGCAACTCTTCATAATATTTTATTGTAGTTTTCTAACGTGCCTGCCTCCCTGACTGGACTATAAGCTCAGTATGGCCTAGACAATTATATCTCTTGCTCACTGCTGAGTCTTTGGCACATGGCACAGCAACTGAGTGAGTGGACTGTTAAATAGTTGTAACAGTTTTGTTTCACCTCTAAACCTATACTTCTTTAATTTTTGAAATTAAAATTCCTTTAAAGGAGAATTTGTAAGAGAGGAGTGTACTTTTGGAAAATGCACGTACAGAAATAGATAAAATTGTGCATACTTCCTCAAGGAAGCAACAGATAATCTGGAATCCCATCTATAAACCTAACTTGCAAATCAGTGCTAAAATCCAAATGAGATGTGTTTTATTTTTAAAACTATCAGGCAGTTTTTTGCTTGTTTTAATAGGGTAAGTTTTCCAAATATGTTACACCTAAGTTTATGCTTAGTTGAAGACATTTATAGAAGTATGGCCACTTCAAGTTACATTTTTCATATAGTCATCATTTTTATCAGTACATTTCAAAGTGAAAATTTTGGACAATGGTATTGGTTATGCATTATATTTATATGGTAGATTTTAGAAGAATTCTTCACCGAGAATGTGTAAACTCCAGAAACTATATTATAAGATGATTTCCATAGAGTACATATTTCAAAAATATTCCTGTTTATGATATTTATACTTTATTATGTTCGGTTTCTCTACATCTTTTCAATTTTATTGGCTCCTTTCTCTCATTTTGAAGTAAATGAGTATGGATCTTGCTTTCTGAAAACAATCTAATTGAGATTCTCATTCATTTTTTTGCTTGGGCTGCTTCCCCAGGGGAATATTCTGGTGTGTATGCTTTTAAAATACTTTAATGTTACAGCTTTTTAAGCTAGGTGGTCTTGGCTGCTTTTCTCATTAATGCTTTTTCATTTTTTTCCTGCTCAACTATATTTTCCCACATATATTTTTCAGCTTTTATGCTTAGCTCCCTATGTGCTTGAGAGTTTAGCAGTCATTATATAAACTTTTTCACCCAACCTCAACCCTATTTCTTTTGACTCTATAGCTTTATTAACATTAGTGTTTAAAGCAAATATTTCAACGTATCTTGTCAAATTCATTTTTAAATTGGAATTTGGAAACTGTTTTAGTTTGTGTTTAGTTTCAGCTTTTGGATCATATGTAGATGATTAAATAAGCTACTATTTCTGGTATTTATTCTTCATGGTGGAAGTACCTTGTTCTTTGAGAATATCTGAGATAATTATAATACAGACAATATAGGAGTCCATAAGTGAACAGAGAACTTCTAGCATTCCCAGGTTGGTTGAGTTTTAAATTATCTTTTAGTTATTTGAAATATTACCTCTTTTTTAAAATAAAGAGACATGTTAGCTCTTTTAATTTTTTGTTGTTTTCTTTAGAAATGTTTCCTTTTTTAGGTGGGTTATGAATATTATTTCTTCCACTGTATGTGATTTTCCAATATTAGCTTATGAAACATGGAATGGTTGGTGTTTTGTTTTGCTTTGCTTTGTTTTTGTAACTTTTTGAGGTATGTTCCCTAGTGTGTTGTTTAATTTCTTCAGTTTCTTACAAGTCGCAGCTAAATAGCTTTCTTCTCCCTGAAGATCACTATGTTGGATCTTGCATTGACTATTCTACCACCCACCTTATAGTACTCATTAAGTTATTAAGGAAGGTTCTATAAATTGACAAGTAAACATTGTTTCAAAGAGGGCACTTTGAAGAAACCTTTATATTATTGATCTGGAATTTTCATTCTAATTAAATTCAAGTTTATTTTGTAGAAGAATTAGTAACATATCAGAACATCCTTATGAATGAAGGAAATCATCTTAATTTCTGTCTTTTCCAAATCATTATGCATTAAATCATAACATTGTGATTTCAAATGTCTTTCATATCATGCATAAAACTTGGATTAAGTGTCTATTTTCATGCTGTTTCTCACATGAAACATCTCTTGTTCTTTGTTTTTGCTTTACATGGAATGCATGGGCTTTAAGACCATAATTTCTTTGGTAAGGTTTCATCTGTGTTGGGGTTCTGTTTCTTGTTTCTGCCTGTTCTGTATTAATAAGACCTAATTTTTAGGCAAAAGCCTACAATATCAAGTGTGATTTAGAAATGATTTTTCATCCATATTAATGCTATTCTTTTTTCCCCACTAAATACTGTTACTTTTAAAAATATTTGGCAGAAAAGTCTTCACTGTTTTTGGAATATTATCTAGGAGAAGCAAAATACAGACTTAAAACCTTTAGCTTTGTTCTGTGGTAGATAATTATAATTTTATAATGTATGCAAGTAAACATATAAAAATGAAATTATAGACAAAATGAAATTATTGAGGGACAGATAAAATGTTACAATAAAATTTGTGACTATAGCTTGTCTTAAGTCTATTTATATAGTTTTAATAAATTTATTTTCAAAGTTTTTATCTTTTTTCTTTGATAGGAATGGGTCGTGAAGTTGAAAATCTTATATTGGAAAATACACAACTGTTGGAAACCAAGTAAGTATATACAGAATTTAACAGGCAACAGGAGATACTAAATTTTCTTCTCATCCATATCAATGTCACATCTAAATTAAACACAGTACAAATGCAGACTTATTACCCTATCTCCTCCCCTTCTCTGTGTATGGCCTTGTGCATACACATGTACACAAGCAGATAGTTAATGGTACCTAATTTCACTGATAGATAGGTTTCATTGCTCTGGGGTTTTTTGTTGTTGTTGTTGTTTTTTCCATAAACAGATTTTGATCTCCTTTTACCCTGCAAGTATCCATGCCTTTCTCTTAATCTTCTGAATGTGTCCTGTGTAGTATCGTTTCAAAACTTAGTAAGAATAATACCCTTATGGATATTATAAATTTAATCTTAATTCTGACTTTTAATAATTTGGTGGTCTGCCTTGCCTTATCTATTTATTCTTTGGTAAGTGAGAAAAGTAGAAACAGGCCATTACTTTGTCGGCTTTTTTTTTAAACCTGCAGACAACATCAGATAGAGTATCTTTGAAGCATTCAGTTATTATTTAGCTTTTTTATTGTAGTTACTTTAGTCTACAAGAGAGATAAGCTTAAAGATAGGATATTTATTTGTAATGGTGCTCTTTAAATATGTGTTTCTTAGAAATGCCTTGAATGTAGTGAAGAATGACTTGATAGCAAAAGTAGATGAACTTACCTGTGAGAAAGATGTGCTGCAAGGGGAGCTGGAGGCTGTGAAACAAGCCAAGCTGAAGCTGGAGGAAAAGAACAAAGAATTGGAAGAAGAGCTTAGGAAGTAAGTTTTTACCATGTTGTTCTAAACCAAACAAGCATTGCCAGTGTACCACCAGGATTATAATAAGACTGCTACCTTTAGTCCTCTCAAGGCACAAAAGGCACAGAACTGCCTGGGATAAGGTTAAGTGCCTGGCTGATTGCCTCTACTCTGAACAGACCCTCCCATTTATTGACTATTGTATGTCATGATTGTGAAAGAAGTTAGACTGTTCAGATGTTGCTAATCAGGAAACTAAACATTCATTATTTTTCTTTACCCAGCTTTCTTTAATACCTGGTTTTCTGACAACAATGCTATAATAATGTTCCCTTAAGTAAAAGCAGCTAAATACTCTGTTTGGAAAAAGAAAAATAATCATTTAACGGTAGTTAAATTTTTGACCTATTCTCCATTCTTTAAAAAGTTGAAGTCAACTTGAATAACACTTTTTGTTTTTTCCGCCCCTCTAGAGCTCGTGCAGAAGTTGAAGATGCAAAGCAAAAAGCAAAAGATGATGATGATGTAGGTTTATAATTTTGAACTTGTTTTTCTTACTTTGCCACATTCTGGTATTTTGGGGAAATATTGTTAATTAAGCTTTGGATATATCACTTTAAAGATGAGGTTCGGTTCAGTCACTCAGATGTGTCTGACTCTTTGCGACCCCATGGACTGCAGCGTGCCAGGCCTGCCTGTCCATCACCAACTCCCGGAGTTTACTCAAACTCATGTCCATTGAGTTGGTAGTGCCATCCAACCATCTCATCTTCTGTCATCCCCTTCTCCTCCTGCCTTCAGTCTTTCCCAGCATCAGGGTCTTTTCCAATGAGTCAGTTCTTTGCATCAGGTGGCCAAAGTATTGGAGTTTCAGCTTCAGCATTAGGATCTCCTTGCAGTCCAAGGGACTCTCAAGAGTCTTCTCCAACACCACAGTTCAAAGCCATCAATTCTTCGGTGCTCAGCTTTCTTTATAGTCCAACTCTCACATCCATACATGACTACTGGAAAAACCATAGCTTTGACTATGTGGACTTTTGTTGGCAAAGTAACGTCTCTGCTTTTTAATATGCTGTCTAGGTTGGTCATAACTTTTCTTCCAAGGAGCAAGCATCTTTTAATTTCATGGCTGTAGTCACCATCTGCAGTGATTTTGGAGCCCCCCAAAATAAAGTCTGTCTCTGTGTCCATTGTTTCCCCATCTATTTGCCATGAAGTGATGGGACCAGGTGTCATGATCTTAGTTTTCTAAATGTTGAGAGTTAAGTCAACTTTGTCACTCTCCTTTTTCACTTTCATCAAAAGGCTCTTTAGTTCTTCTTCATTTTCTGCCATAAGGGTGGTGTCAAAAAGTCAAAATCACATTTACGATCATGAATAGGATAGCTCATGCTCCTGTGTGCTGTCCAGATGGTAAGCTCCCTAGCTGTATGCGTGTTGTCAGTTTTCCTCTGGCTTTGTGCTCTCGCTGTGTCTGCATGTTTAAGCTCAGGAGCCAGCGGGAGAATTCTGGAGTCTTTTGTTTGTTGTTTGTTTTGTTTCCGCTTTTAACTTAGAAATACATGAAAGCTTTAGTGATAAAAAATTTAATGGTATTAAACATAAAAAGAAGCCTATCAACTTATAAGCAATTAGCCCATGTTGTTTTCAACATATAAAAACAAAAGAATAAATATGAACTTCTTGTCAATGTTAGCATACTAGTTATTCTGTTGGTAACTAGGTTATCATCCCTATAATAGGTGTTTGCTGCTTAAGTATCAGACTTGAGATATATGGATGTCCTGATCAGGATGATTATTTGGTGCCCCTCAATATCTTATTTGTGCTTTTATATGATGTTTGATACATTTAAAATATATGCTGTATATGTAGGTTATGAGTAATAACATTAACATTATATATAATAAATTAACATTATGAACCCACTGTTTAAGAACTAGGACATTACCAAACACTGAAGCTATGCTATGCTTTTCCCTCTGGAGGATGCTACTGTCCTGTACTTATCATTTTATTAACTTGAAAGAAAAATAGTTTTATCATATCACACATATATGTCTTTATACGCTATGGTTTAATTTTCATTGTTTTTGTGTTTTATGTGTATTTAGTCTTGGAGACTTGCTTCTTTTTTCAGTATTATGTTTTTTATATTTACCCTATTTGTATATTGGTATATATTTCATTCATGTTCACTGTTTTATAATATCCCATTATATAAATGTACTATAATTTATGTATTTGTTTTTCTGTAAATGAATATTTTGGTTATTTTCAGCTTTTTAGTACTACAGACAGTGCTGTTATGAACATTGCAGTAAGAGTCTCCTGATTTTTCCAGAGTGTATAGCTAGTAGTGGGATTGCTGTGTTGCAAACACAAAATCCTTTAATTATTTGTTGTTTGACTTTTTTTTTAAAAGGAGAGGTCAGGTTCTGCAGCCGGAGGATGAAGGAGGAAACTACTGAAGGCTAAGCTCAGCTCTTATCTTACTGTCCCATGCCTTTCAGCTTTGATTCAAAATGTGCATACTCCACTTAGCAAAACAAAAGCCCAATAGTTAAACCAACCTTCCTTTCCTGGAGAGCCTTTGGAAAGAAATCAGCAGTAGAAGGAAGTTTGAACAACTCCCTTTGGGATCTGACCATACTCATATTCCTTACCTTCCTTAATAATAATTCTGGTTAATACAGTTATCTCCATCTTATATTTATTTTATATTTCTTTTGGTGTTTTAGTGACTCCCAGCATTGGGTACCTTGATAACTGGCCAACAGGTTTTTATGCTTTTTGTAAGTTAATATATTAAAATTAAGGAGTGTTAAAAGCTTAAAAATTTTACCTAAGTCTGAGCTATAAGACCAAAACAGATACAGGCTCCCAGAGTGATCTGCAGTCTTCTTTTCGTTATAGAGTGATATTCCCACAGCCCAAAGGAAGCGGTTTACTAGAGTAGAAATGGCCCGAGTTCTAATGGAGAGAAACCAATATAAAGAGAGATTGATGGAGCTTCAGGAAGCGGTTCGATGGACAGAGATGATTCGGTTTGTATGAGAAGTACCTCTGGTGTTTTTCTACTTAATTTATCATTTACCAGGTTTCTGATTGTTTACTAATATTCATTTCTGTGTTTACAACTGGAGTCCTCCCTTGGGGATCCAAGCCCTTGCTCTGTTTACTAGGAAAGGTCTAAAGAAACACTGGCAATTAGAAACAGAATGTGATGGAAGTGGTTGCCTTTGGGGCCAGTAAAGCTTCTTGGAGGATATTCCCACAACCTCTCAAAGGCAGTTGAGTAGTCTGTCGATGAAAATAATCAATAAACAATCTATAATTGAAATGGAAGAGTTTTTTTGGTGCCAAATGGAGGACTGTAGCCTGGGAGAGAGCCTCTCTGATAACTGCCAGATGTGTGGTTTTCAGCACAGTTTTATATCTTGTCAGAACAAGCAAAATCAAACAAGTCAGGGAAACATTCCTTCAGGGTTTCTGAAACACCAGATCAGCATGTACACAGTGAGACAGTATGGCCTTGCCACCTGGAAAGGGAGTCTTACCATCAAAAGACTGAGTATCGATCTGAAAGAGACACGTACACCCCAATGTTCATCGCAGCACTGTTTATAATAGCCAGGACATGGAAGCAACCTAGATGCCCATCAGCAGACGAATGGATGAGGAAGCTGTGGTATATATATACCATGGAATATTACTCAGCCATTAAAAAGAATTCATTTGAATCAGTTCTAATGAGATGGATGAAACTGGAGCCCATTATACAGAGCGAAGTAAGCCAGAAAGATAAAGACCATTACAGTATACTAACACATATATATGGAATTTAGAAAGATGGTAACGATAACCCTATATGCAAAACAGAAAAAAGAGACTCAGATGTATAGAACAGACTTGTGGACTCTGGGAGAAGGCGAGGGTGGGATGTTTCAAGAGAACAGCATCGAAACATGTATATTATCTAGGGTGAAACAGATCACCAACCCAGGTTGGGTGCATGAGACAAGTGCTCGGGCCTGGTGCACTGGGAAGACCCGGAGGGATCAGGTGAGGGGGAGGTGGGAGGGGGGACCGGGATGGGGAATACATGTAAATCCATGGCTAATTCATTTCAATGTATGACAAAAACCATTGCAATGATGTAAAGTAATTAGCCTCCAACTAATAAAAATAAATGGAAAAAAAAAAACCAAAAGACTGAGTATCAGCATTGGTGTCCCAGGAAGGGAGGCATTTCACCTTTTATTTTTTTAACATAGACATTCTTTACTTCTGGTCAGTGCACCCTTTTCTTTAATAATTAAAGCGTATGTATAATATATGTTTGATAGTCCACAAATAGGCATTTAAGTTAGCATAACATTTCAATTAAAGTATGTATAAGCCAGAATTCTTCTCCGTACCTCAGTATGGGAACATTTCTTTCATCAGTCGTTTTTTAAAAGAATATAGAAACTGATACTACTTTTGCAATAATGTCAGGAAGAGATAAAATTTTCATTTTCAACATAAGAAACAAAATCATTCTTACTCAGTGTCGTCCTGTAAAATAGTCCTGATTTTTTTTCTCCTTTCTGACTAGTCTTGTATAAAAGCAACCTTCCATTGACACCTTTGTCAGTTGTATCTTACTTATTAATGCTGCCATCTAATGGTCATATCCTCAGTAACAGTGTTTGTTACTTCAATTTTAAAGAGTTCATGAAAAGTTTGTAAATTAATTGCCCCCTAATTTGCCCATATTTTTCAGTTTGATTGGTCACATCAGATTTACCAGTAACAGTACACACTGACACATTGTTTTAAACTTTATGAAAGCATTTTCTAACCACCACTTTTACTTACTTATGATTATATCCTTTACTTAATAGTAGTGAATGAAACATTTTATATAGTACATTTACAATTTTCAAAAGTTGTAATTGCTTATAACTGCTAAGAGGAAGAAGATAAGTAGTGTCTTGTTTTTGTTGCTAAGTCATACCTGACTCTTTTGCAGTCCAGTGGGCTGTAGCCTGCCAGGCTCCTCTGTCCGTGGGGTTTCCCAGGCAAGAGTACTGGAGTGGGTTGCCATTTCCTTCTCCAGGGGATCTTCCCAACCCAGGGATTGAACCCACGTCTCCTGCATTGGCAAGTGGATTCTTTACCACTGAGCCACCAGGGAAGCCTGATTAGTATCTTAATCTTTATTTATTGGACAAAGAAACCAATATACTAACAAATATGTTCTTAAACACCTGCTTTTAATAAAGAGATTTTGAATAAATAAGTAAATAGTTTAACAACTAAGACATATAGTTAGGCTCCACTTTTTATTACTGTTTTTAATTTTCACAGCCAAATGGTAGTCAACAAGTGAAAAAAAAAAAAGGTAACTTTTAACTTTCTCAATTGAATTAAAAGATGTTTTAAAATTAGTCCAAAAAAAAACCCCCAAAACCAGAAAAGGGAGCTCTGACAGTGATGGCAAAATCCTTACAGCCATACTGAATCAGTTTGCAGTGCCCTTTTTAAAAAAAAATTTTTGCCTAATTACCTAATCAATCCAGTTTATTTTCTTTCCTGGTCAGCTTTTCAGCAATTAAAAAATTTTAGTCCTGTGAAAAATGATCCATTAGAACAATAAAGTTACAAGCTAGTTTTTGAGAACTGGAAATATAAGACAAACAGTATCTTTATGTAGAGACAGAGATTTATAATGCAATATTTTAATATTATTTTGATGCAAATGTAATTACAGTTTCAGACTGTGAATTTTAAATCATTATAACTAAGCTCAAACACATCTTTATTAATCAAAATAGGAACCATTGCAGTCAACACATTTTTGCCAATGAAAAATAAGTTTGTTTATTCCTGTAGTGTAAAAATCTGTACTTCGGGATTCAGCTAACTCTTGGAAAGCATTTTCCGCATCCTGCTGGTTGTGGAAGCACTTTCCCTGCAAAAAGTTGTCAAGATGCGTGAAGTGGTAGTTGGTTTGCCAGAGGTCAGATGAATATGGCGGATGATACTAAACTTCAGTTTGTTCAACTTTTGAGGCATTGGGTGTGTGACATGCCATCAGGCGTTATCATGGAGAAGAATTGGGCCCTTTTGGTTGACCAACACTGGCTGTAGGCATTGCAATATTTGGTGCATCTCACTGATTTGCTGAGCATACTTCTCAGATGTAATGGTTTTGCCAGGATTCAGAAAGCTGTAATGGATCACACTGGCAGCAAACCACCAAATAGTGACCATGACCTTTTCTTTTGGTGCAAGTTTGATTTTGGGAGCTTTGGAGCTCTGGAGCTTCTTCTCAGTCCAGTCACTGAGCTGGTCCGCCACCAGTTGTCAATAAAATCTTACTTTTTGTCACATGTCAATCCCATCGAGAAATAGTTCATCGTTGTTGCATAGGATGAAAGAAGACGACACTTCAGAATGACCATGTTTTTGATTTTTGGCCAGCTCATGTTGCACCCACTTACCGAGCTTTTTCACCTTTCCAGTGTGTGTCAAATGCCAGATGACCGTAGAATGGTTGACGTTGAGTTCTTTGGCAACTTCTCATGTCTTGTAAGAGAATCAGCTCAGTGATTGCTCTCAGTTGGTCGTTGTCAGCTTCCGATGGCCAGCTACTATGCTGCTCATCTTCAAGGCTCTTGTCTCCTTTGCAAAACTTCTTGAACCACCACTGCACTGTGTGTTCATTAGCAGTTTCTGGGCCAAATGTGTTGTTGATGTTACGCGTTGTCTCCGCTGCTTTACGACCCATTTTGAACTCGAATAAAAAAATCACTTGAATTTGCTTTTTTTCTAACATCATTTCCCTAGTCTAAAATAAATATAAGATAAACAGCTAGTAAAAAGTCATTAACAAAAAAGCATAAAGCAAGAAATACACATTAAAATGATGTATAACATGACCACATTTATTTAAGAATGTATTCCAGTATCAAACAGCAAGTTTCAACAATGCAACCCTGCAATTACTTTTGTACCAACCTAATAAAAAGGAAAGTTGGAGGATAGCTCATAAAAAATTTAAACATTAACATTCAGGCTTGTTGGTTGTCTGTCCTGCACAGATAGCAATTTTTTCTCTATCAGTACTCTGAGCTCTTGAGGAAGGGATGGAATTTCAATATTATTAGTTGTGTTGTCCTTAACAGACTGACTGACACATATAGATCAAAGTAATTTTTTATTAAACTTGATTCTCCATGTATTTCATGAGCTTCTTGGGTCCCTGGTTGTTTAGATAGAAAGCTAGACCGTCTCACTGATGACACATTCATTTAATCTCTCCCTCCTTCTCTTTCCTTTTCCCTTTCCATGTAGTGCGTCAAGAGAAAATCCAGCCATGCAGGAGAAGAAGAGGTCAAGCATTTGGCAGTTGTAAGTATCTAAAATCATATGAAGACATTAGATAGCAGCACTTTGAGACAAAGAAGATTAGAATCAATCTGTTTTCACAAATGATTTCTTTCTTCTTAGTTTCCTTTTTAAATTCAGGGTATATAGCTAAACTGAACTTTTTCTTTTTGGTATGTAGTATGCCAACTCGGTAAGGCTGTTCTTGAGGACAAAAAAATTAATGTTATCGTAAGCTGCATCATGTTGATTGTGCATTTGGTGGCATCCTCTGCTCAATTAAATAGAATAATGGGGAATTATTTTTAGAGTTGATGATTTCCTAGATCCCCATTAAATAAGTTACTGATGCATTAATTGTGTGATTTTAAGAAAATTTATTAGAGAGGGAAGATTAAAAATTTAGTGTTTGTGGGGTTTGAGTAGTGTGTATATGTTTGTGCTTTGGACTTGAACTGTGTTTGTGCCAGGAGTACTATGCATTTATTGTGCTTAAAACTTACCCCTTTTTGAGGAATCTGCTATTTAATAGAAAAAGGTTTTTTTTCTTTTTGAATGAATGTGAAAAATAGTTACTTAAATTGAGGTTAGTAAGGAAATTTATAAGATGTGTGTTAAAATGGTAATATGTGTTCTAGTACTTTATTATAACTATTTTTAAAAGTTGCTTACTAAGCTTCTCTTCAAACCACACAGCTGTACCTTGCTATTTAACAACCACTGGCTGGCTAAAGGAACTGTCTTATTTCTTCTTTATGAGAAAGTCTCTGTACTCAAGAGCTTCTTCCTTTCATTACGAGAGTTACTAATTAAAGAACAGAGATTTGCCATTCTAGGCAATGGTTTCTCTTTCCTGAATGTCTGAGTTTGGCTGTGAATTATTGCTAAGACTCCAGTGTGTTACTGCAAAAAGTCTTTTTGCTAGTTTCTAACTCATTGCCTTGTAAAAACTCTGGAATTTGTAAAGAATTATTGGTCTTAAGCATGCGTTGGTCTTAAGCATGTGTGTGATACATACACACACCGCACACACACATTCTCTCTTACTTTCCTTTTAGTTTCAGTCGACTTTTCAGCTCCTCAAGTAACACTACTAAGAAGCCTGAACCACCAGTTAATCTGAAGTACAATGCACCAACCTCTCATGTTACTCCTTCCGTCAAGAAAAGAAGCAGCACCTTATCTCAACTCCCTGGGGATAAGTCCAAAGCCTTTGATTTTCTTAGCGAAGAGTAAGTATTTTCCAGACTAATGGTTATGCTCTAAATAACAGTTTAGAATATTCTTGCCTCTTTTCAGATCAGTTATAAGGATTCAGATGGAACTATAAATGGCTTCCCTAGTGGCTCAGAGAGTTAAGAATCTGCCTGAAATGCAGGAGACCTGGGTTTGATCCCTGGGTTTGATCCCTGGGTTGGGAAGATCCACTGGAGAAGGGAGTGGCTACCCATTCCAGTATTCTTGCCTGGGAAATTCCATGGAAGTAGTAGCCTGGCGGGCTATAGTCCATGGGTTGCAAAGAGTCTGACATAACTGAGCGACTAATACTTTTTGTTGTAAGAGGAAATTGGGTTCCTGACTCTGTTCCTCATTAGATACATGAACCTGGGAATGTTAACCTCTCAGAGCCCTGCCTATAAATATGAGCATGATAGCCTACCTCAGAGGTGTTAGGATTCAATTATATATTATCTGTAAACTGACACAAAGGTAATTTTTTCTTGTTATTTCTATTTTAGCAGAAGAAGGGAGATAAGCTATTGTTATATTCAAGTAATTAAAAAAGGAAATTTCCTTTTCTTTTAGAACTGAAGCTAGTTTAGCCTCACGCAGAGAACAAAAGAGAGAACAATATCGTCAGGTAAAGGCACATGTTCAGAAGGAAGATGGTAGAGTGCAGGCTTTTGGCTGGAGTCTGCCTCAAAAGTACAAACAGGTAACGTTTGAATATGTTAAGAGCGTCTAGTGGGAAATACAGAGAGAGAGGAGTAGGCCTGGGCATGAAAGATTATAAATACATATCCCAAACCTACTGGTTTCAAGCAGCATGAATTTGGCACATGTTTAGAGAAGCATTAAGGATTGTGGTTTTGTTTTCAGGCTGTTTTCTAGAGCCTACAGTTCAAAAGAAATGCCTCCGAATTCTGTGAAGAGGGAGAGGGGTCAATATAGGAGGTGGCTGAGTATGGGACTTTGAGATAACGTACTCTGTTTTAATATTGAAGATTTCATTTAAAAGAAAATTAGTATCATTTAAACATTAAAAGAAGTCTTCCTTATGAAGCCTTTCAAACTGTTAACTTAAAACTCAATTCATGTCTTTCAAGAATATATTCCCTACCCCTCAAACACACACACAACACACACAGTCAAACCCACATGTGTGTACTAACAGGTCTGTGAATTAGTGTATGTTTTCTGAGCTCCCTTATTTTCTCTAATTACCACTTGATTTTCTGCTCATTTTTCAAGTAAGAAAGACAAAGTTAACTTAACGTGACTTCATAGAGTAAATATGTTATAGCAGTGCTTGCCCATGTCTCAGTGGTTCTGTAAGTTCACTTTTGATGAGACTTACCCAATGTGTCCTTCTCTCCCCTTCCCAATTATTAGGTAACCAATGGACAAGGGGAAAATAAGATGAAAAATTTACCTGTGCCTGTCTATCTCAGACCTCTAGATGAAAAAGATACATCAATGAAGGTAAATTAATCTTGAAATTAAAGGTAATATTACTTAAAGTCTTGATGGATTTTTTCTAAAACAGAAGGAGTTTAAATTCTACTTTCTTGGGCAAAGTTTCTCATTTTGTCATTTTAGACTGAAATAGTTTGAATATTAGAGCCCTCTCTTTGTAATCATTACATCTATTAAGGAAATGTGAAAAGTTCTAAACATTTTTAGAGAGAAAATGAGTAATACCATCTTTTTTTTTTTTAACCCAAAAAGCTGTGGTGTGCTGTTGGAGTCAATTTGTCCGGTGGGAAGACCAGAGATGGTGGTTCTGTTGTTGGAGCAAGTGTATTTTACAAGGATGTTGCTGGTTTGGAAGCAGAAGGCAGTAAACAGCGAAGTGCATCTCAGAATAGCTTAGACAAGTTAGATCAGGAACTTAAGGTAAGTGCTTGCATTGCATTTGCCCCAGTTTCTGAAACTAAGAGTTTAGCTCTTTGGTCTCAGACTTACTTCTAGGTCCAGCTTCTAATTGGGGTTACTATGCCCTTGATTACTCCTCATCCCTGCCCTCACTCTTTTTTTTTTTTCCATTTATTTTTATTAGTTGGAGGCTAATTACTTTACATCATTGCAGTGGTTTTTGTCATACATTGAAATGAATTAGCCATGGATTTACATGTATTCCCCATCCCGGTCCCCCTCCCACCTCCCTCACCACCCGATCCCTCTGGGTCTTCCCAGTGCACCAGCCCTGAGCACTTGTCTCATGCACCCAACCTGGGCTGGTGATCTGTTTCACCCTAGATAATATACATGTTTCGATGCTGTTCTCTTGAAACATCCCACCCTCGCCTTCTCCCAGAGTCCACAAGTCTGTTCTATACATCTGAGTCTCTTTTTCTGTTTTGCATATAGGGTTATCGTTACCATCTTTCTAAATTCCATATATATGTGTTAGTATACTGTAATGGTCTTTATCTTTCTGGCTTACTTCACTCTGTATAATGGGCTCCAGTTTCATCCATCTCATTAGAACTGATTCAAATGAATTCTTTTTAATGGCTGAGTAATATTTCATGGTGTATATGTACCACAGCTTCCTCATCCATTCGTCTGCTGATGGGCATCTAGGTTGCTTCCATGTCCTGGCTATTATAAACAGTGCTGCGATGAACATTGGGGTGCACGTGTCTCTTTCAGATCTGGTTTCCTCGGTGTGTATGCCCAGAAGTGGGATTGCTGGGTCATGTCCTGCCCTCACTCTTAAGTCAGTTTTACTAGAGTATATTTTACATTCAATAAAGTATATTCTCAAAATAAGTACAGTTCAAAGAGTTTTGACAAATTGTGAACATGTGTAACAACTATCACAGTCAAGATAGAGAACATTTTTTATCACTGATAACTACTAGTTTTTCGTCTACTGATTATTGTTGAAAGGTGATTATACTCTCAGCCTTCTAAATAATCTGGAAGTGAAGTTTAAATAGTAGTGTCCTTTACTGTAATAGCACAGCCATATAAATATTTATGCACACATCTCATTTTAAACATTCATTTTCTTTGCTTTGCCTATGCAGGAACAACAGAAGGAGTTAAAAAATCAAGAAGAATTATCCAGTCTAGTCTGGATCTGTACCAGCACTCATTCAGCTACAAAAGTTATCATTATTGATGCTGTTCAACCAGGCAACATCCTAGACAGTTTCACTGTTTGTAACTCTCATGTTCTGTGTATATCAAGCGTACCAGGTAAGAGTAGTTCCTTTCTTTGCACCATCCACACCTCCTCACTGGTAGAAACTGATTGGTTACTGGAGATACAGTTATGCATCTCTTCTAATTTTTGAAGGCGAAAAAGAAACTGAGTTCAAATGACTAAGGAGGATATTTTCAGATACTGTGAAAAAAATAAAACAATGGAAATTTGTGAAGGGTGGAAAACAGAGGGCAAAGGGCTATTTAAATGGATTAGTATGGAAAGGCCTTTTAGAATTCCATATTAAATACTATATGATATTAAAACATTGGTTTAAAAATTAAAGGAAATTCCCTGATAGTCCAGTGGTTAAGACTTTGTGCTTCCACTGCAAGGGTATGGGTTCAGTCCCTGGTTGGGGAACTAAGATCTGACATGCCACGCAGCACAGCAAAAAAAAAAAAAGTTGATGTACAGCATGAAATACTATTCAGCCATGTAAAGGAATGAGATTCTGATACGTTCCATAACATAGATTAACCTTAGAAACAACTCAGACACAAATATTGTATGATTCTACTTATCTGAGCTGTCTATTAATCTGAGCTGGCCAATTCATAAACAGAATTAAATTAGAGAATTCCTGGGGTAAGGGCATGGCGATCAGAGTTATTTACTTGGTATAGGTATTCTATATGAAGTGACAGAAAAATGTTGGATGCAGATAGCTGTGATGGCTGCACAACATTGTGAATATAATTAATGCCTCTGAATTATACACTTAAAATGGTTAATATGGCAGACTTTATGTAGTGGCTCAGATCATGAACTCCTTATTGCAAAATTTATACTTAAAGAAAGTAGGGCAAACCAGTAGACTGTTCAGGTATGATATAAATCAAATCCCTTATGATTATACAGTGGAGGTGACAAATGGATTCAATTGATTAGATCTGACAGAGTATCAGAAGAACTATGGATGGAGGTTTGTAACATTGTACAGGAGGCAAAACCAAAACCATCCCCAAGAAAAAGAAATGCAAAAAGGCAAAATGGTTGTCTGAGGAGGCCTTACAAACAAATAGCTGAGAAAAGAAGAGATGTGAGAGGCAAAGGAGAAAAGGAAATATACCCATCTGAATGCAGAGTTCCAAAGAATAGCAAGGAGAGATAAGAAAGCGTTTTTCAGTGGACAATGCAAAAAAAAAAATAGAGGAAAAAACATTAGAATGGGAAAGACTAGAGATCTCTTCAAGAAAATTAGAGATACCAAGGGAACATTTCGTGCAAAGATGGACACAGTGAAGGGCAGAAAAATGGTAAGGACCTAACAGAAGCAGAAGATACTAAGAGGAGGTGGCAGGAATACATAGAAGAACTATACAAAAAAGGTCTTAATGATCCAGATAACCATGATGGTGTGATCACTCACCTAGAGTCAGACATCCTGGAATGTGAAGTCAAGTGGGCCTTAGGAAGCATTTACCCCGAACAAAGCTAGAGGAGGTGATGGAATTCCAGCTGAGCTATTTCAAATCCTAAAAGATGATGCTGTGAAAGTACTGCACTCAACATGTCAGCAAATCTGGAAAACTCAGCAGTGGCCACAGAACTGGAAAAGATCAGTTTTCATTCCAGTCCCAGAGAGGGGCAATGCCAAAAAATGTTCAAACTATCATACAGTCACCCTCATCTCACATGCTAGCAAGGTAATGCTCAAAATCCTTCAAGGTATGCTTCAACAGTATCTGAACTGAGAAATTTCAGATGTACAAGCTGGATTTAGAAAAGGCAGAGGAACCAGAGATCAAATTGCCAACATCCATTGAATCATAGAAAAAGCAAGGGAATTCCAAAAAAAACATCTACTTCTGCTTCATTGACTACGCTAAAGCCTTTGACTGTGTGGATCACAACAAACTGGAAAATCCGTCAAGAGATGGGAATACCAGACCACCTTACCTGCCTCCTGAGAAATCTGTATGCAAGTCAAGAAGCAACAGTTAGAACCAGACACAGAACCACAGACTGGTTAAAAAATGGGCAAAGAGTATGTCAAGGCTGTATAGTGTCACCCTGCTTATTTAACTTACATTCAGAGTATATCATGTGAAATACCGGCTGGATGAAGCACAAGCTGGAATCAAGATTGCCAGGAGAAATATCAATAACCTCAGATATGCAGATGACACCACCCTTATGGCAGAAAGTGAAGATGAACTAAAAAAAGCCTCTTGATGAAAGTGAAAGAGGAAAGTGAAAAAGTTGGCTTAAAGCTTAACATTCAGAAAACTAAGATCATGGCATCTGGTCCCATCACTTCATGGCAAATAAATGGGGGAAAAAATGGCAACAGTGACGTCTTACTTTCTTGGACTCCAAAATCACTGTGGACAGTGACTTCAGCCATGAAATTAAAAGACTCCCACTCCTTGGAAGGAAAGCTATAACAAACCTAGACAGTGTTTTAAAAAGCAGAGCCATCACTTTGCCAACAAAAGTCCATATAGTCAAAGCTGTGGTTTTTCCAATAGTTATGTATGGATGTGAGAGTTGGACCATAAAGAAGGCTAAGTGCCAAAGAATTGATGCTTTCGAACTGTGGTGCTGGAGAAGACTCTTGAGAGTCTCTTGGACATCAGGGAGATCAAACCAGTCAATCCTAAAGGAAATCAGCCCTGAATGTTCACTGGTAGAACTGATGCTGAAGCTGAAGCTCCAGTACTTTGGCCACTTGATGTAAAGAGCCAACTCATTGGTAAAGACCCTGTTGCTGGGAAAGATTGAAGGCAGGAGGAGAAGGGGATGACAAAGAATGGAATGTTTCGGTGGCATCACCAATTCAATGGACAGGAGTTTGAGCAGACTGTGGGAGTTAGTGAAGGTCAGGGAAGCCTGGTGTGCTGCAGTCATGGGGGAACAAAGAATCAGATACAACTGAGTGACTGAGCAACAACATATGTATATTTTACTACAGTAAAAATTTTTAATGTGATATGGATAAGAATAGCTTTCTAAATAAAGAGAACTGAAAAGATTTTTTTAATGTTAAATGCTTAGTTTTTAAGTGTGTTACTAATATCTTAATGCACTGTATACACCTAGGCTATATTAATTTTCAATAGTGGCAGAAATTCATATTTGAAATAGAAATAGTGATAATTAAAAAAATTTTTGCTGACTTGTCAGATAGAATTATATTTTATTGTTTTTAATCTCATTAGTTGGCAGCTTTAAGAACTCATATTAAGAACAGAAATACATTTCTGACATTTTTTGGTTTACTTGTGCTTGCATTAATTGTTATTATTGTTGCATTTATTATCTTGATTTTTAAAATTACTTTCTCAGTTTGTGAATTGAGTTTAAATTAATTTAAATAAAATTTATTTACCATCTTGGCAGTATATTTGCATAGGTATTTGTCTCACCTTTACTCTTATTTCAAACCTATAATTGCCTTAATAGAGCAAATGCTACTTATAGAAGTTTACTGAGCTATTTAAAGAAGGTTTATCTTGTACTTCAGGAGCCCGAGAAACAGACTACCCTGCAGGAGAAGAGCTTTCAGAATCTGGACAAGTAGACAAAGCTTCTTTATGTGGAAGCATGACAAGCAATAGCTCAGCAGAGACAGATAGCCTGTTGGGAGGCATCACGGTCGTTGGTTGTTCTGCGGAAGGTGTGACAGCAGCTGCCACTTCCCCTAATACCAATGAAACTTCGCCAGTGATGGAAAAACCGCCAGGTGTGTTTGTCTTCTTTAGATACCATCTGTATCGAATCTGAGCCTGTCCCAGGTGACTCATTATGGACTTAACTTAGATTTTAAAGTAACAGGGATGAAAGAGCTTGACAGAGGATGCTGTGATGATTGTTCAATGAAATCAAGAATCCTCAATTTTATTATATAATATGGAGAAGAGGAGGGTAAGAGTGGAATTCTATAGAGAGCGTTTGGGTGGGGGAAGTGATTGGAAGAAAAGCTCAAACTTGGAATGGTTAGCGTGCTTTATTTATTTTTTTAGAAAAGGAAACAGAAAATAGTGAGATTGATGAAAATGTTCCAACAGCAGAAGAAGCAACTGAAGCTACAGAAGGCAATGCAGGATCAGCTGAAGATACTGTGGATGTCTCCCAGACTGGCGTGTACACAGAGCACGTTTTTACAGATCCTTTGGGAGTTCAAATCCCAGAAGACCTCTCACCAGTATATCAGTCAAGGTATAAAAATGGGTAAACAACTTAGGAAACCAGAGTGCACGTGTAAAAGGAACAAAAATGATCTCAAGCAGCCAAAATATTCCTACTCATTGTTGTGGCAGATTTAGATGTTATTACTTATTCCCACTATGTCTTCATCTGTTCCTTACATTTTGTTCTCTCTAGACATATTTTTTCCCCCATTTGCTCCAACTTAAAAAAATCTTGCTTATAAAGTATATTAGTCAAAATCCTTACCAGTCAGTGGGGATTAAAATAATGAGTTATTAACAGAATAGAAGACAGTGATTACAGTTTTTTAAAAAAGCCATACCAAATATCTATGGATTTAAAAAAAAAATTGTACTCATTGTCTTATTATTGTACTCACTTGTTATTCTGTTAATAGCTCATTATTTTAATCCCCACTCCTTCACCCACTCTATCCACAAAACTGGCCATTTAAATTTTCCATGTGGGTTTTAATGACCTTTTGAATTTAGATTTCTGGCAAATATTTTATTAGAAAACAATTTGTTTCAGACTTTTCCTTCAAAAGAAAGAGTTGTTTAGTTTTCTTTCTTGCCTTCTCTAGGCCTTATAGAAAGCTGATAGGGGTCTAAAGTCATCTTGTTAGACTTACTGATTCATTTGTCTGTTTTGAATTTGATAGCCCAGTTATGCTTTTTTTTTAAACTAAATGTCCTCTGACAGTCCAAAGAAATAAAGTTTTGGGGTAGAATAAAAGCATGTTTCAGCTTATTTATTTTGTTTATAATTGTTTATAATTAACCCTCCTTTGTTTGTTTGTCTGTGTGTGTGTGTGTGTATGTATGTATGTGTAGTTTTAAAACAAACCATGTCTCCTCCTCCTCTCCCCACAGAAGAAACTCATAAAATTCAAGATGACTATAAGGAGAACCTTAACTTTAGTCTGGATATTAACTGCTATATTTCATTACAGTGTCTTATTTCCCTTATCTGTACCTTGAGCCTCCTAGTATGTCAGTGTTACTTCTGGTACAATTGCTGCAATATATATATTTATATACCTTTCATTCTTTCTTATTCTCCCTCCCCTCCGCCTCCCATTGCCTTGCTTTGCCTTGCCTGCCTGCCTTCCTTCCTTCCTCCACCCTCCCTCCCTCCCTTTCTCTGAAATGTTTAATATAAGCATTTAACTTTGGCTTTACTGGAATTTATTTTTTAACAATACACTAAAATGTAGAAATTATCAATTCCTGAAACCTCAGCTAAACACAATAAGATTTTTTTTCCTTTTGTCCCACCTTTTCCAGTAATGACTCAGATGCATATAAAGATCAAATATCAGTATTGCCAAATGAACAAGACCTGGTGAGAGAGGAAGCCCAGAAAATGAGTAGCCTTTTACCAACTATGTGGCTTGGAGCTCAAAATGGTTGGTAGGTATCAACACTTTTAATATTAGAAATCTTTAATCTTTCACTTTTGCTTTAGGAATCTTAAGATAACTAAAATGTGCTACATACAAATACAAACAAAAAGTGCCTATTAAAGTGAAGAATTTTATATACACACAATTTTCAAGTTATATTGCAACTACCTCATAAATTGGACTTGGACTTGCATTGGTTCTGAATGGTAAACTGTATGTCTGTCATAGGATGTTCCCTTTATATAATATTCTTGGAAAAAAGTTAAGTAAACTTTAAAATCTGGGTGATCTAGAAATAGGAGATCCTGAACAACAGAAGTTATTTAAGAAATAAAAGGGATTAAAAAAATCTCTGGTTGCAGAAAGGCCCAATTTTAAACATAACTCCTGGGAAAACAAGGACAAATCACAGTCTAAAAGCTTAGGAGCTGATAAACACTATAGGACTTTTCCACTTTGTAGTAGTGTGAAGAGTCTTACAAACTTGTGCTTTTCCTAAGGTTAAACAAGATCACTAGTGCATCTTTCCCATAAAGGACTGATACTACAAAATGAAGGTTTGACATACTTTTTCTCTGTGAAGGGTCAGACAAGAAATGTATCAGGTTTTGTTGCCTTATCTTTCTAGCAACTTCTTAACTATGCTGTTGTGGTGCAAAAGCAGCCACTGCGTTGACAATACCTAAGTGAACTGGTGTGGATATGTTCTAACAATAAAACTTATGAACTCTGAATTTCATATAAATCTTGTATGCCATGAAATACTCTCCCTTTGGTTTTTTTCCAACCGTTTAAAAAATGTAAAGACCATTTTTAGCTTGCAGACTGTACTAAGACAGATAGATGGCTGGATTTGGCCTTTGGGCCTTAGTTTGCTGCTCCCTGGTGTAAACTACTCTGTTATCAGAAATTTATAGCTCAGTGTAGTAGGAAAGTAAAAAGACTATTTTTTTTAAAAGATTGATGGCCAAGGATTGTGAAGTATGCGGCAATCTGAAAGCCACCATGCATTAGTTCTGGCTTTTCATTCTTTTTATGTTTCTTTTGCTTAAGCAGCTTATTTCTCTGCCTTAGGCCTATCCTTTTCCTTGTTTTGTCCTGAAATTTTTATGTTACTCTTCTTTTCTTTTGAAGAAACTTTGTGTCATTATTAGATATAAGCAACTACTTGATGTGTTCTCTATGCCTTACCAGTCTTGATTTTGTTCTTGCAGTTTGTATGTCCATTCATCTGTAGCCCAGTGGAGGAAATGTCTCCATTCTATTAAACTTAAAGATTCGATTCTCAGTATTGTGTAAGTTTTATTTTAGAAATTCTTCCTTTGAAAAATCTGTATTTTGGTATAAACTAGATTCTAAGACTATTAAAGTTAACATGTACTTCATGACTAAATCAGTATCCATGTCTTTTTTTAACCCTCTTTATGAATGAGGTTGAAACTAGAAAATAAACCAGAGAATTGTAAGTAGAAGAGAAAACTTGCCAGGTTGATTCCTCACTGTACTGAGAGTTCTTCAGTCTGTTGGCGAGAAAACCAATTAAAAACCGTGATATTTGTTTTAGACTATTCTTTATACTTTGTGAATATGTTGATTGGGTGATTGATTTACTAGTCCTTTTCTGTATGTTGACTGTCAAAAGTCAGTTTGTCTCTTAGAGCCACAGAGCTGACTCTTTCTACTCAAGGTGTGTGCCTTTGGCCTGTGGACCTTCTGTCTGCAATGAGAGGAGGTTAGAAAGTGAAACAGCCGAGTCACCACACATGCTTCCTATTTAGTCCAGCTGACATTCTCAATGAAGAAAAGAATCTGTTCCTTTAGATTGTCTTGTAAGCTCCTTACATCACAGATTGGCCTTCTGACAACCTCTGAACTAGTTCAGTAGCATGTGGTGTCTTCTGTATTCCCAAATGGAGAGTTCTAAAATCCCCTTTCCTATTTGCAGACATGTGAAAGGAATTGTGTTAGTGGCCCTAGCTGATGGTACCCTTGCAATCTTTCACAGAGGAGTTGGTGAGTTGTTATGAATATATAACATGTGCACTGATTTGTTGCTTTGCAAGAGCATTTTCAAACAGATTGACCTCTTATGTTTTAAAGAAATGATATTTCATAGGAGAAAGAATAAAGGTTTAAACTGAATACTAACCATGTATGACATGAGTAAATATGTGAGTGCTTGACTGGAGGCATACATTAATCATATACCTCAGTGAAAATTTGTTTACCATACTGAGCAAATAGTCATTATGTTTCTCTTAAATAATGTGCAGTGGAAGCATTTATTTGTTTTCTAGTCATAGACCTAATTTAGTGAGAGGATATGTTTTCTTTTGACAAGTATTTTAAACATAATTTGCATTCACTTACATTTGGAATGTTCTTGAAAAGAATTTTTAATTAGGTAAAGTTTAATCATTTTTTTGTCATGTTTTTTATATTCTTCCCCTTTAAAACAGTGTTTCTGCAAAAACCACTGCAATATTGTAAAGTAATTAGCCTCCAACTAATAAAAATAAATGGAAAAAAAAAAATTAAATTTTTTGGCTTGGCAAAAAAAAAAACACAGTGTTTCTACCATCTGCAGACAGAAGGTGTCAGAAAACTGCATTGAGTGAATTAAAGAAATTGAGCATATAATTCCTTGGTTCATGTATCATCCAAAAGTGATATTTCCTTGCTACTAGATTAGTGAATCAGGGAAATATTATAAAAATGTAGATCCACTAAACTTAAATTTTTGCGAGGCTTTTCCAAAGTCTCGTGTCTTTTTGCAGCCTCAAGAAATGTGAGGTAGATGATACTTAGGTGCCTAGAGATTTTTGGTTAATGACTCCATAATGAAAAGAGAGGCCTCTTTTCGTTGTTCAGGGCCTTTATAGACTGTATCTGAGTTTAATCCTCACAGCAACTTGTGAAGAAAATTCTATTGTCATCCTCATTTTGTAGTTGAAGAAACTGAGGCACAGTATTTTAATTACTTGTTCATGGTCACTCAACTAGTGAGTCGGAGAACCTAGAAAAATGGAATGATAAATGTTTTAGTAAATTGAATCCAAAACTGATCAAGACAAAATACATTTAATAAGGATAAATGTAAAGTCCTGCATTTGGGTTCCAAATACTAGATGGAGATGTGTGTGAAGACTGACAGCTACCTAAAGGGTGACATTAAACTCAGTACAAGTTAGTTAACCTGCTAAACCTCATAGAAATTAGTGTCCAGAGCAGGGCTGGTGATTCTGCTCCACTCTGGTAGAAAGATAGCATGAAATGAATCTGGACAAAGTGGAGTTAGGATGAAAGTTCCATAAACTGATGTGTCCAAAACACAGGACGAGGATGCTTGGTTTTGAAAAGACAGGTTTTGAGAAGACAGGGCAGTAGCAATGAAGTGAGACTAGATTTATTCTGTGTTTCCATTAGGCAAAACTATAGATTAAGGAATGATTATGTGCAAGAAGGAAGACTTTAGCTGAGTATGGGGAATTTTTTTGGGGGGGGGGATATTTTTAAGATAATTACAGTTTTAAAATGAAACAGATGCAAGTGAGCCAGAGTGATATTATGCCCAAAATAACCTTAAATTCATTCTAATACTTAAAATACTTTTGTAAACAGGTAACTTAAAAATAACTTATCACCTCTGTTGAGAGCAAGGGGGTCCAGGTAATGGGTGGCAGATTGGACCATATGATCTTTGAGGTCTCGTCCAACTCTGTTTGATTTATATCTGATTTACAGATTTAATTTATAGATTAATATCTGTAATGTATACACTGTGTGTGTATATATAATATATATCTGTAATATATACAGCTTGCCTGGGATTAATATCTGTAAATATACACCAAAATACATGATATTTGGGGGTGCTTCATTAATAAATTTAATTACACATCCAAATAAAATATTTCTTGTGTTAAAATTGAGTAAAAGATGGTATACATAAACTAATGATCTATTTCTTATTTTAAAGATGGACAGTGGGATTTGTCAAACTATCACCTGTTAGATCTTGGACGACCTCACCATTCCATCCGATGCATGACTGTGGTACATGACAAAGTTTGGTGCGGCTATAGGAACAAAATTTATGTAGTTCAGCCAAAGGCCATGAAAATAGAGGCAAGTTAACCCATGTTTTCTGAACTTAGTGAATTTATATTACCTGAAATCCCTAAAATTTAATTATTTTCAGCTTTTTTAGAAATTATTTTCTGAACCTGTGTATTTTGAGGTACTTCAGTGATATACTGAATGAATTCTCATTTTTCTATGGTACTTTATCTCTCTTGCTGCTTTTGACTATGAGTATGGGAAGTGATTTTTTTCAAGGAAAGAAGATTCACACGTGAATGTCTAAATGCATGTCTGAGTTATCAGTAGACCCATACGTATATGGCTTGAATACATGGTTCTTGGAATGTTTAGTCACGTAGAGATGGTTTGGGAGGAGAGCTCTCAAGTCTCCCCCACTACTCAGTGTACACATGTCACACTGAGCAATAATACTGCAGTGGAAAGTTTTTGTAAAAACAAAAGCCTCTTGGCATTATTATCTTTAAAAAGTTTTGCCATATATACAAATTTATTCTAATTGTTTAAAGAAAGAAAAATAGTAGGAAATTTTTAAGATTTGTCCCAAATCCTGTTTACAAGCCTAGAAGTTCCATTTGGTGTTTATTTTTTAGATATATTCCTTACATGCAGGTATATACTTACAGATACAGCAGAGTAGGTTCATTTTTGTTTCAGTATAAATAGGATCTTATTTTGTGTATTGCTCTGGAACAATGCAAAATCCCGAGGTCCAATTCAGTCTTTTTGTTGAATGCTGTTACATAGAATGAATGTGTCAAGATTGCTGTCATAAGTTGATAGTCTACACAACATCCTTTAGTTCTTTTTTCTTTTTTTTGCAGTATGGGATAATAGCAATTGTGTATATGAGTAAACACTATTTAGGCTCCTCTTTTATTAGGTAGTCTGTTAAATTATTGCACAAATTAGCACAGTTTTTAAATACTAACTCCTAGATAACTCAAGTAACACTGTGATTGAACAATCTTTTCTAGAAATCATTTGATGCACACCCCAGGAAGGAGAGCCAAGTGCGGCAGCTTGCCTGGGTGGGTGATGGTGTGTGGGTCTCCATTCGTTTGGATTCCACACTCCGTCTCTATCATGCACACACTTACCAACATCTGCAGGATGTGGACATTGAGCCTTATGTAAGCAAAATGCTAGGTAAGCATCCAAAGCATTTTATCTTTGTCAATCAAAGAAAATGGTTTATTTTTAAATGATTTCAAATACTGAGTAGAACCAGTTAGTAAGTTGCCTCAGGAATAGTGATCTCTTATCACTGAAACTGTTGGCAAATGATCCGTCTACCCTGTGATTCTTGACAAAAACTTAAGATCATTTTTGACTCTTCCTTTCTTGTTCCCCACGTATCATCCCACATCAGTGGGAACTGTCGAGTCTTCCCCCCAGAATATCTTATACCAGTAATGTCTTTTTTTGGCCACACCACACGACTTGGGTATCTTAGTTCCCCAGCCGGGGATTGAACCCATGGCCCACAGTGAAATTGCCAAGGCCTAACCACTGAACCACTAGGGAATTCCCTTAAATGAGTTACGTCTTTTTCTCTACCACTATTCCCATAGGCCAGGTCACCATCCTTTCCTCCTCAGATGACCAACAGCCTCTGATCTTCCTGTCTCTACTCCAGTCAGTTTTCTACATAGTAACCAGTGTGCAAATATCACCATGACATACCTCCATTTATGTAATGCCAGCCATGCAGAATATTCTTGTCTTTAGGTGAGATTTTTTTGTGACATTATTAGAAGAGCTTAAATGGTATGGACAGCTCTCCTTGATCACTCTGGTCTGTCCATGCTGACCTAAATTCAACAGGTTCCTTCCCATTTCAAGGCCTTCACATGGTGCTATATCTTCTGTCTGAGAAGTTTTTCTTAGTCCCTTTTTACTTGGCTTTCAGGTCATGTCTTATATGTCACATCCATAAAAGACCTTTCCTCATCTTTATTTCCAGGTTTATTTAGGCCCTCTTATACTTTTCCTTCATGGACTTATCATTACTGTGATTGTACCAGTATCATCATACTGTCTCTCCCCCTGCAGAACTAAAGCCCCATGAAAGGGGGCTTTAGACTATCTCTGGCTTATTCCTTGAAGTATCCTTAGCACCAAATCCAGTGCTGTTAGGAACATCATAGATGATTTCTTTATGAAGAGAGTTTGAATTATATCAGTGGTTTTTAACTTTTTTTTAGAATCGTTGCCCTCAGAAAACTGATGATAGCTGTGTGCCCTCTTCCTAGAATCACACATATATAAACATAGACACAAACCAATTTCAGTAATATACTTGGACCATAGGTTAAAGATCTCTAGTTTAGACTGTTTAAGATTCCTTCAAACACTGCAATTCTATGGTCATACTCTCACTTCTAGTAAGTAGAACTTATGACTAAATGTTGTTTGTCTTAAATGTATTAATATTACAATCTGTTTAATAATTTTGCCTCTCAAATCCCTGAAAATAAGATCAGTTTAAAATTCCCTTGAAATTAAAAAGTGCATTAATTCTCCCTATATTATATGCATATGGTGTCCTAAAATTTCTAAGTTACTTTAGACCCAAATATATAAAAAGGAAAGAATATAGGTTTTGTTAGCAAAGATCATTTCTTAACCTATGCAAAGAAATTTAAGGCAAGCAAGAACTCTCTAAGCTTATAAAACAGAAGAACATTTAATTTCCCCAATCTAGTAAACTGTTTTTGTTGAGCTTTTTTTTTGTTTTGTTTTGTGTTTTGGTTTATTTGGCTTGGGTTTGCAGGTCCTTAAGTAAATTCTGCATCATATCTCCTAATCCACATCATCTTCCTTCTGAATGATGATACAATGCTAGCCGCTTTTAGAGTTTTCTTTTTCTCTTAGCTGTGAATTGTCAGATGATATTGATTGATAGATGATAGCCATGAATTGTCAGATGAATTGATAGATAATAAAGTCAAATGAGAGTTGATCTTGATTGATGTGACTTCTGGAAATATCCAAGCAGCTCTGGTCACAATCCTCTCTATTATATTAGTCCAAAAACATCATCTGCTCTGTCTTTTCAATAAAATGTTTTCCTTCCTTCCATACAGGTACTGGAAAACTGGGCTTTTCTTTTGTGAGGATCACAGCACTTATGGTGTCTTGTAATCGTTTGTGGGTGGGAACAGGAAATGGTGTCATTATCTCCATCCCATTGACAGAAAGTAAGTACATTTTTAGGTAACTGTCACAGAAGAGTTGTGGGGAGTAGCCTTGTCTGAAATTCAAGTGGAAGGAATTGAGCTAAATCATAGATCTAAATTGGCAAACCTGTGGTAATTCAGAAAGTCAAGCTGATGGCAAAGATCTAACTATTGTTCCTTCACTCTTTCTGTGGAACCTACAAGCTCTAGCAAATGTATCAGGACTAATATTTACAGTTAAAAGTTTTTCATTTTGAAAAACTGTTTTTCTCATTTTGGGAATCACAATCCTATTTCCTTAAATAATGGTCAAAGTCTGTTTTTCTTTCAACCTTATTATGCTAGTATCCAGAAACATTTCCTAACTACCTAATATCCTAGTTTTTCATACCTCTGTGGCAATTAGCTTAGAATATTCCATTTAGCTTATGAGTTGTGGGAGACATTTCTTACTTAGGACGTCATCAAACACTGACTTATGTTAGAGATAAGCTATCTTGTACTTGAAAAGAATGTGAACAAAATGTACTTCGTATGTTTTTCGTACTGTGTTCCATTACATTGATCACTCATTATATAAGTAATTTTGTGTTGCAGAATTCATGAGCAGGATTTGAGAAAATTGCCATAAAGTAATTTAATAAATAAACACATCAGAATTTAAAACGAGTTGAAAATGTTACCATAAAATAACGTAATAAACACACCAGAATTTTTAGGAGAAAGGAAGAAGACTGGATGGTGTTACATTTTGAGCCTTTAAAGAACCTAAATTTTTTTTTCTTCTCCCCGACACTGCATGGCTTGCAGGATATTAGTTCCCCAGCTAGGGATAGAACCTGGGTCCCCAGCAGTGGAAGCATGGAATCCTAACCATTGGACTGCCAGGGAATTCCCTAAAGAACCTAAATTCTTAATTCTAGCTGTATTTTCTTTAAAATTTTTAAAATTTAATTAATTAATTTATTTTTGGGGCCTCCGCTGGGTCTTCATTGCAGCGTGTGGGCTTTTTTAGTCGTGACACACGGGGGCTACTCTCTAGTTGCAGTGCTCGGACTTCTCATTGCAGTGACTGCTCTTGTTGCAGAGCGCAGGCTTTAGCGTATCTGGGCTTCAGTAGTTCCAGGAATGGGCTCAGTGGCACAGGGCTTAGTTGCCCCCTGGCATGTGGAATCTTCTCAACTTGGAATCAAACCCATGTTCCCTGCATTGGCAGGCATATTCCTAACTAGTGGACCACCAGGGGAGTCCTTTTTTTTTTTAAATTTTTAAAAAAAATGTTGGCTGTGCAAGGTCTTCATTGCAGCATGCAGGCTTCTTTAGTTGCCCACAGAATGTGGGATCTTAGTTCCCTGACCAAAGATTGAACCTGTGTCCCCTGCATTGAAAGGCAGATTCCTAACCACTGGACAACTACTTATAAATCTACATGTTTAGACCACTTCTTATATCTTACGAGATTCCAGGATCTCCAGAGTTTGTTTCAGTTCTTTATAGATGAGAGTTCCATTTTGGCATAGTCATTTGCACAGGATTTCTTCAAGAAAAGGGGGGAATATTCACATTTAGGAAATGCTCCCCAGTAAGTTCTTATTCATTGAAATTGCTTTATAATTAAGAAAAGCAAAATCACAGTAAATAAAATTGTCCTTTTTGAGCAGCGATGTTCTTCAGAGGCTTTGGTAAGAACTTTGTAAGTTGCTTGGTATTATACCAAGTTGGATTTTGTTTATTTAGTTAGGAGCGTTGAGCTCCTGAGTTGCCAGATAGAATATGCGAAGAGTGGCAGCTCACAGTAACCCTCCTCCTCCCTGTCACGCACCTCTCCATGTCCCCTCTCCTCCTTTCTCACTTCAGCCGTAATCCTCCACCAGGGACGCTTACTGGGGCTGAGGGGTAAGTCCAGATCCTGAGCCACACTCTTCTTCCCGGCTTCTCATGGCCACCGTGAGGCCATTCTCACGTCTCTAGATACCCTCTTGAATGTTCCTAAATGTCATCCACTTGCAATCACTGCATTGCAGCAGGTGTTCTTTTGTTTTTTAATGTTTGTTACATGGCCACCAAACTACTGCTCAGCAGCTTAGTCTATTTATCATCTTTTGTTGCAGCTGAAATTTCTGTCAGACTTTGTTTTCCCTCCAATAAAAACACGAAACCTCTCTGAAAACTGTCATTAATCTACATTGTTTACTCTTGTTACCAATCATGTTTCTTTCATTCACTTACTGGCACATGGAATGGGGTGTTTTGTGAGTCTGGTCATTCTAAAATAATTGAACCAACCATCAGTCTGGTGTAAATAAAAGCTATTTTATTGTACTGGATGGAGCCTTTTAAGCTCAGCTTTTTACCATCACACAAGGGAAATATACTTAACACAAGGGAGAAAAATGAAAAGATAAAGTATAAAAATTCTGCTTAAAAATAAACCTGTTTTCTTTAAGCTATATAACTGGTTAGTTTTCTAAAATGAGGATTAAAAAACCAAATGGATGTACCTGAGAAAGCTGTTTTAACTAAAATGATTTTTTCATTAATAAATGTGTTTAGAAAGTAAACTTAGTGCTAGACTGGCAAAATCCCCTACTCCATATACTAAGATACTTAAAAATAACTAGCATGCTATATATCTCTTTTTTTTCCAGCTTTGTCTTGAATTGGTATTGCTGCTCTTGTTTTATCTCAACTGGCTGTAGCTTTTAGATAATATAAGGATTAACCAGTAACCTCTTGCATCATTACTATTTTCTAGGGGAAAATATTTGTTGTTTGGTTTTTCTGTTGCAGCAAATAAAACATCAGGAGCATCGGGAAATCGTCCTGGAAGTGTCATTCGAGTATATGGTGACGAAAACAGTGATAAAGTGACGCCAGGGACATTTATACCCTATTGTTCAATGGCACATGCACAGCTTTGCTTCCATGGGCACAGGGATGCTGTGAAATTCTTTGTGGCAGTCCCAGGTGAGTTAGAGTATTCTGTTGAGAAGTTGCATGTCCAGTTGACTGTTGAACAATGTGCATTTGAACTGCATGGATTCATTTATACAGATTCTTTTCAGTAGTAAACACCATAGTACTGCATCATCCCATGGCTGGTTGACTCTTTGGATGCAGATTGTGGTCGTGTAAGAACCGTGAATATGGAAGGGTGACTATTAATTTTACTCAGATATTTGACTGCACAGAGAGTCAGTGCCCCAACTCCTGCATGGTTCAAGGGCCAACTGTAATTGTCTGTCCCTCTCTCCAGTCTAATACTTAGTACTAGAATTACAGATAATTCCAACATAATCCTTGAAATGGTCTATAATGGAGATATGAATAAAGTGCTATAGAGATACTTGATAGAAGCTATTTTAGAATCTCTCTTCCACCCCAAAAACAAACTTGATTTTATTTAAGAGACTTCTTTCACTTTTGAAAAGTGGTGGTATTGTTTTGTCACTGCAGAATACCAAGAGTGATTTTGACCTCATAAAGGAGATTTCTAAGAAGCCCTGTCATCAAGGCTCTATTCAGAAAGAGATGGAAAATGTGCCCTGACACCTCTGTCAGAGTCGTGGCAAAGGGCGGACGTGGTCTGGGGGTCTGGGCCTCTGCCACTTGGTGTTTGTGTCGAGCAAGTTGCTTAACCTCTGATACTCGTTTCTTTATTTCCTAAGTGGGTGTGACTAATAGCTGTTCAACCAACCTTACTTGTTGTAAAGATTAGTGAAAGGGTTTTGGGAACTATAAAGCACCATCTAGATGAAAAGTGGTGGTTATGATGTCCAGTGGAAAATGTCCCTTGAGAATACTAAATGATGTTGCTGATCATCTGTAAGCAGGACCTGTGTTTTGGATTTTGGATTATTTTTTTTTTCCCTGTAAGACGCACGTTTAGGAGTTAGACAAAGTTTAAATCTGGCTTTGCCACAGCAACTATGTGACGTTGGACGTGGTGTTCTCTCGGTGTATTAGGGTTCTGCAGAGGAACAGAACCAAAAAAGTGTGGGGTAGGGAGGGAAAGAGGAAGAAAGAGAAGGATTCTGTGGGGAGAGAGTTTGATTTAATTTAAGGAGTTGGTTCATTTGATTATGGGGGCTGGTAAGACTGAAATCTTCAGGGCAGGCTGAAGACCTAGGAAAGAGTTAGTGTTTGCAGTTTAAATCTAAAGGCAGCCTGGAGGCAGAATTCCCTTCTCCTTGGGAGACATATCTTTTTCTCTTAAGGCCTTCAAATGATTGACCCACCCACATTATGGTAAGTGATCTGCTTTACTCAAAAGTCCACTGATTTAAATGTTCATTATATCTAAAAAATACCTTCACAGTAGTATCTACACTGGAGTTTGACCAAAATGTATGGAGCCTAGCTAAGTTGACACACATGAGATTAGCCACCATACTTTTTACTGAGGATGTTCCAAAGATTAAGTGATTAAGAGTACCTAGCTGGCACATAGTACCCTAACCAGCTATTCAGTATTCTTAACAACATGGTAATGAGCTTCCTGAAGTGTATGTGTAATATTTTTGTATGATTATTTCCTCAAAATAAACTTTTAGAAGTGGTATTGCTGGTTACAGGCTTTTCTTGCTTTTAAAAAAAAATGCCATAGAGACTCATTTGAGTCTCCTTTATATTCTTCTAATCTTACTCCCTTCCCTCTTTTCTGGTCATCTATAACCACTATCCTGAAGTTGACATGTATCCTTCTGCCCATGTTTTTGTATTTTTACCACATTGGGACATAAATAATAATAGTATTATTGTTATTATTACTATAAATAATATATAGTATTTTTTATATTTTTGAACTTAAGTCTTATGTTGCACATATATTATTCTGCAAGTTTCTCATTTTTGAGATTTTTTAATATTTATACATATACATAAAAATCTAGTTCATTAAAACTATCCTGTCCATGTCCAACATAACATAATTTTTTATAAAGTGTATCACATCGTGGGACTATGTCCTGGTAGCATCTCGAGGGATGGTCTGTGTAGTTTGACCAAAAAATAGCAGATCTGGCAAGAAATTACTCCATGCTCATAGAGATTATAGTGTGAATAATATTTCATACTTAAAGATTATATCTTAAAATGTAAATGTTAGAATTATATATTAACCAGTCATTTTATTTGCATCATCTAAATTTAATGTCATATGTATTATTTTAAATATGAGAAAACCTTTGGATTTGAGTTTTCACATGGTGGCTCAGATGGTAAAGAGTCTCCCTGCAATGCAGGAGACCCAAGTTCAATCCCTGGGTCAGGAAGATCCCCTTGAGGAGGGAATGGCTACACACTCCAGTATTCTTGCCTGGAGAATCCCATGGACAGAGGAGCCTGGCAGGCTACAGTCCATGGAGTTGGCAGAGTCAGACACAACTGAGCAGCTAATAACTTAACTTATGGATTTGAAATTGACTCAGATATTAATTATGAATATCCAAATTCATAAGGCTTAAGTTGAAGACTTTTCTCAGTCTCTTATGTAAACGCGTATGTACCCTGCCAGAGGAGAGATCTTTTCACTACCCCTCAGATAAAATGATGTAAGTTATAATAGTCTGAAGCAGACAGCTAAGAGCAGCTGAGCAATATACAGTTCTCATACTGGATTCTGGACATGTTTGTGCTTTGGGACAAAATAGCTTTACCTTGATTTCAGATTGGGCTTTCATGACCTTATAGATGTTTCCTCATCATGCAGAGGCTTTTATTAGAATGTACTTATTATGTTGTTCAGTTTTCTGAAAATACTCAGGAGTAAATGAGTCTCTCCCACTCTGATCCTTGATGAATAATATTTGCTTGCATCCCTATAAACAGGTCAAGTCATCAGCCCACAGAGTGGCAGCAGTGGTACCGATCTGACAGTTGACAAAGCAGGGCCGTCTGCACAGGAGCCTGGCGTCCAGACACCCCTGAAGTCTGTGCTTGTCATCAGTGGGGGAGAGGGCTACATTGACTTCCGAATGGGTAGGTCATTGGTTCTGTGGGCTCCTTTCCTACTGTTCTGTGATGTGGGTTTTCACTCACCATAAACAAGAAACTCGGATATGTGATTTCTAAGGTTTTCTTTGAACCCTTTACTTGGATTTTATATTTTTTTTTTTTTTTTTTTTTTTTTTGCTACTTTCATAATTCTTTTTCTTTTTATACCAAGGTGTGTTTGTTTGAAGGAGCACTAGAAAATAGCAGGGTTTGGTCGTATATTGAGGTGTATGTGAAGAGCTTATGGAGTCAGAAGACCTTAGGGAAATCATTCAAGCTCCCAGAACCTCAGTTTCTTCACCTGCACAGTGGAGAAATAAAAATATCTCATAAAGTGTTGTTTATAACCAAATTCATTTCATTTATTCATTCTCTCATAAACATTAATTATCTGCTGTGTGCATGAGATACAAAAACAAAGTCTCCCTCCAGTAAATTATAGAACATGTCAATAAATTGCAGTGTTACAGATGCTCTGATAGAGAGTAGTCAGTTCTTTTCTGGAGTAGGGGAAGAGGGCAATCAAGAAATGATGCTTGAGATGACTCAGCACTGAAGGGCATGAGCCTAAAGAATTGGGTTGGGGATGATAGAGGGAAGGCTGGGGAGACTGGCGTTTCAAGGTAAGAGATAGCTTGAAATGTGAAACTGCCTTAATGAAAGAAAAATTATTTCAAAATGACTAGAGCATGGAGTAGAAGCAAGTATAAATCTGACCACAGATCAATCCAGAAAGGGAAGGGAGGGTCTGGATTATGAAAGGCCTTTATATACCTAATTAAGGGGTTTGTACTTTAAAGCAAAGGAAAATTATTGGAGAACTTTAAATAGAGGAGCAATATGATTATATCTGTGTGTAAATGGATTGGAGATATAAGACTACAGGTAGGAAAATGGGTTAGGAAAAAGGAAATGAAGAAGGTAGTAACAGTAGGAGCAGACTAGCCCGGTGGTGGGGAACTGGTAACTGACGGTGTGAAGAAAGAGGGAGTGATCTATTTACTTAGCAGTAAGGACTCTCAGAACAAAGGCAGCAGATCTGCTGGAGGGAGAGGGATGAGGACAGGTGCTGGACATGTTGACCTTGGAGCACATGGAAGTTGGGAGTTGTCTAGGTGGAAGAAGTCCATGGGGCTTTTAGGTATAAGGGTTTTATATCTCAGGAGAGAGGAATATGGGGACTCTTGGCATACAGTGGTGCTGAAAATCACAGGGGTTGATTAGTTCACCCAAGAATATGTAGGGGCCAGAAGAAAAGATTCTAGGATAGAACCCTGCTTTAATACTCCATTTAAAGAATCATTAGAGTTTATGAAGGGATCTAAGAAGAAATGGCCAGAGAAGTTTAAAAGAAAATACAGAGAATTAATGATGATGAAAGTGTTGTGCTTTGTAAACTATAAAGCACTGATACATATATTTACTTGCTGTAAATAAAGAAACCCTTTGGACTGGACTAAAATCACAATGATTGACAAAGTTTCTAAACATAAGGCTTTAGGGAATATAATGTTGTAGACTGGTGACAAATACTTCAGTTATAAATTCTGTTAAAAAAAAAAAGGAATATAAAATTTAAGGTCACATTAGGACTTCCCTTGTGGTCCAGTGGTTAAGAATCTACCTTGCAGTGCTGGGGATGCGGGTTCAGTCCCTGGTGGGAGAACTAAGATCCCACATGCTAAGGAGCAACTACTGAGCCTGCGAGCCACAGCTGGAGAGTTGATGTAAAAGGCTTACTGACAAGTTTTAAAGGCAGGATTTTTAATGTTAAATTTAGCAACGGTGATGTCAGTAGGAATGGAGAATACCTTTATAGAGATGCGCTTCATTTGGCTGGGTGATTTTTGGAACTTTTTCTTCCATTGCAACATGGTAGTTGGAATGTAAAAATTGCTTAACTATGTTTGTCAGTATCTCTAGGCAGTCCAGCCTGAAAAGCAGAATTTGTTTTAAAGCATGTGAAGTGTGTGTGTGTGTCTGACTCTTTGTGACGCTATGGGCTGTAACCTGCCAGACTCCTCTGTCCCTGGGATTCTCCAGGCAAGAATACTGGAGTGAGTTGCCACTGCCTCCTCCAGGGGATCTTCCCCACCCAGGGATTGAACCCATGACTCCTGCATTGGCAAGCGGATTCTTTACCACTGAGCCACCTGGGAAGCCTATCTTAAAGCATAGGTCGATTTTAACAGTAAATATGTTTTTTTAAAGGGTTTCCCAGGTGGTGCTCGTGGTAAAAGGACCAGATGCCAATGCAGGAGACATAAGAACTGTGGGTTTGATCCCTGGGTTGGGAAGGTCCCCTGGAGGAGGGCCTGGCAACCCACTCCAGTATTCTTGTCTGGAGAATCCCCTGGATAAAGGAACCTGGCGGGCTTACAGTCAGTAGGGTCACAAAGTGTCAGATACAATTGAAGCAACTTAGCACGTGCACGCACATGCTTTTTTAAAATTGAATTTGATATTTTTTGTTCCATTTCTTTTTTCATATCCTGTAATATTTTAACAATGAGAAATTGATCTCAGTAGTCCTTTGCAGAAGTTAGACAGTGAAGATTCTGACTCATGGCATTTCTTTCACTGTGTTCTCTGAAATGGGCATCAGGCAAGTTTTATGTGTGCTGCAAATGGACTCACCATGAGTCCGATGTACATCAGCCTACACCTTCGATCTTGTCCCTAATCTGAGTCTCCTTATCATCTACCAGGTGATGAAGGTGGAGAATCAGAGCTTCTTGGAGAGGATCTTCCACTTGAACCTTCTGTCGCCAAAGCAGAAAGGAGTCACTTGATAGTGTGGCAAGTGATGTATGGTAGTGAGTGAACCCATAGGAAACAGATGGCAACAGGGAAGCCATCTCTTCTGCATGGTTTATTTTCCCTTTATTTAATGGTCTCTTTGTGAAATAAGTTTCACCACATAATGTGTGAGCATTTTTTTCTGTTAACTTTATACTATAAAATCTGTCCTACTGTAACAATACAGGAGCTAGCTGATTTACTGCACCAGTGTTATAGGCAATTTCAGTATATTATGATCAAATCAAAGAATGTTTACTTTCTGCAAACTGGCGAATTTTAGAAAGCAATCCAGATGTGGTTTACTCTTGCACAGTTAATGTCACTTACTTCATTTGATGGGGTCACTTTAGCTGTCACTAATAATGGAATTAATGGAAATACTTGATATATGAAACTGTACCATTAAGTACAATAGTAAAGTTTCTCCCAATGTATTATAAAATTGACACAAACTAATGTTAGGTGGATTATCAGGATTTATCTAAATGTCCGTAGAGGGCTAAAAGCTAACTGTAAATTACTCTAACTTTCACTTTCAAATCTGACAAATCTTGTTTATATGGTATATAAAACTTTGTTTTCATCAGATTTTGCGGGGGGGGTTTTATATTAAAGAAATTAAGACTACACTATTTAAATAAAAATTTCTTGTTTCTGACTTATTAGAGCTCTAAAGTTTATGAGGCCTGCTTTTCTGAATATTCTACTTGATTTTTTGTTTTTGAGACTGGTGTCACTCATTTTCATACTGACATATTTGAAAGGTTTATTATTTAAAAGGCTTAGAAGATGCACTTCAGCAATGGAGGATTTTTTTTTTTTTTAAAGGAAATTGTGGTTTGGATTTCTTATACCAATGGATGGTGGTGGTTGGATGAGCTTTTTTCCATGTAAAAAATTCACTTGTTTACCAGTTGTTCTTTGACTGCTCTTACCAGTTAATAAGAGTAAAGCTTTAGTGGTGATGGAGTATGGCCTAATGAACTGAATGAGTGATTTGATTATCAGTGGTATTTTCTGTTGTTCTGTATAAAACTATATAACTGCCCGTACTTGATATTCTGTACATAAATGACATTTAAGCTTTTATGCCCTTTTGAGATTAAAATGCCATCTTCAAAGAAGAAAACTGAAATAGAAGCAAAAATAGCATAAAGTAAAAGTTGACTTTACATCTTCTCACTCACAATAGAGTGAAAAATAGTCTGCGTTTAACTGACTTTCTTGTTTGATAAGTTTTAAAAACCATTATGCTATAGTTTTTCTTCCCCTCTCAGACTTCTTGAAAACGTATGATTTACCATTCTTAATCCATCACTTTAAGCAAAACTGAATATAAGTTTAAGTACTAATTTAAAATATAAACTTACAGGACAAAGGCACCGCTCCCTAGAAGGATAAGGAAGCAACAAAGGTCTCAGCTTCTCTCGGCATCCTTAAGGACCAAGTACTTTACCTCTGAACTGTAGTGGAAAGATACTTGTAAAAAGTACCACCAGTATGTTTTAAACATATAGATGATTAGCCTAGATTATAAAGTACATAGGATTTAATACATCAGAGGGGGCCTTTGGATACATTTGGTCACATGTGTCTAGAAGCACATTTTATACACAGTACAATTTTCCCACTTTAGATGACTAGGAGGAAAAAAACTCTCTTGGTAAAAGCTTTAGGAAAGGGATAATTTTTTAACTTGAACTACTTAGACACTTTTTTCAAGCCACCAAAACTTAGGTCACTTTTCCATAGCCTATGAGTTATGTTTTTAACTGATATTTTATTTTAAATCTGAGCCATTGTTGGCAGTACCTTAAAATAAAAAATCACACCATTAAATGTTTTGGGAGAATGTTGTATAAAATTCACAAAAAAGAGACAGCCAAATGTTTGAGAATTTTAATCCCAAGAAGTAAACATCCTAGAGTCAGACCCCACGTTTCAGTCTTTTACATGTTTCTATGACTGAATGTAATTTAGGAAATCAGGAGTTAAAAATGAAAAATGCAAACATGTTACAGTGGTTGTTTATTATTGCTCTTTATAAACTTATTGGCTTTAACTTAAGGAATATAGGTGTGTAGTTATTTTATCTAAAGCTGTCAGATGTCTGTGGCCCTGTTAAACTTCAGGGACTAGAGAGAGTACAAAAATGCCTATACAATTTGTTTTTAGAGCTTGTCTTTATGTTTGTCATTTCAGTTCTATATTTTCTACAGATTGCTTTACTTCCACCTTTTCTCTGACAGTAGGTTTATATTCTTGTCAAGGTGGTAACCTTTGGTAGAAAATGCCCAAATCTAAGTTTCTGCAAGCAGCGAGTGGTTGGTTTAAACTGCCTATAGCTACTACATCAATGGTAGAGGAGAAGCTTGAGTACCTTGGGTTGGTCTCTCCATGTAAGAAGAAATTACCCCCATTGGAAGAAATAAGGAATACCTGAGAATTTTCTCATTTTGTTATATTTGGCTTATGTATGTCATTGAACCATGTAAAATTGCTGATATTCAGCCGTTGCTGATCTACAAAAATGACAGTATCATATACATCAACCTAATACTTACTGCTCAATGCAGGTTAAAATCCCTATGAGGCAAAGGGAGAATATTCTTTAGGAACTCAGTTTTGAATGTTTTTCTCTTAACTCATGTGGATCTAAAATTTAAAATAGGAATGAATGTCTTAATAACTACAGCTTGTTGAGAGTGTGAAACATTTTGAGCACAAAATATGCAGCACATAACTTTTCACATGAAGTGTGTTGCATAGAAAAGGTTAAAATACATTCTCTGAGTTGCTGTGTTGTTCATTTCTTGTAAAGGTCTTCCTGCGTTTGAGAATAGAACCTTTAAATGGCTGCCTTAGTGACAAAACAAAGGAAAACACTTGTCTCATAATAAGTAACTGTCCTAAAGAACGTGTGTCTTACAAATGCTGTAGAACTGAATATTTATTTCCTTGTGAGTATTATGACCATTACCAAAGGATTCAGTCAGATTTAGGGCTCTTCTTAATTGATCATGTTGAGAAAGGGACTCATTTTGGTCCCAGTTTGTAAAGGGAAGAGAAGAGAGAAATGTGGAAATCATAAGTGCTTTTCTAACAGGGTTATGCTATTTTGTAACACTAAATGTCTTTTCCTTTTTTAAAAAAAAATAAGTTTTTATTATTAATTTTGTCATATATTTCTCAACATTATTTTAACTGTTTTATGGTCTGAATTTGTCTTTTGTCCTAGACATTTTATTTGGAGTTTTATTTGCCTCTATAATCTTAAAAATGGGTTCTAGAGTATCCCACTTGCTATTTCTTTAGAGGCTGATGCTTCATTTCTATGAGCAAAAAGCTCATTTGGCAATGTAGTTATTTCAGTATTTATTTCTATTATGGAATCCCTGGGGTTCGGAATGTAACTTTGTATATGAAATATATATATAAATATGTATATGAAACACGTATGAGGAGTGTGTTTTGTTTTGTTTCTGCTTTTCCTAGGGGTCTGACCTTGATTTATATTTGAAAAGCCCAGTTATCCCCCATCAAACATGTCATTCCAAGGGTCAGGATTGATTTGGCACTGGCCGAAAGTGAGCAGTGAGAAATACATGAAGAACATGTTTGCCTAGCTCACGTGTTTAAGTGACAATGTGAATAGTAGACAATAAGGCTTTCTAGAAATGTGGGTATGCTGAGTAACAACCCACACATGATACTGAGGCATACCATTTGCCAGATCACTCAGTAATAAGAGGAAGGCTATAATGTAGATGTTAATACAGTGTGCTTATTGTGATCCATTTGCTTGAGAGAGACTGGAACAAAGGGTGATTATAAAACTAATCATGTGGTAGCACAGTGTGAACCCAGTGCAGTGGTGTGTAGTCTAATGCCGTGTTCTTTGTGTCCTTATTGCCACGTTACAGAACAGTTCACTAGTTGGCGGCACATCCATCTATCCAGTGAGGTTGGATGCTCTAGAATATAACGAACAGCCGTCTCATTCCTACTTTACAGGACCTTACCTAACTGCCCCTTGGTACTTTGGGGCCTGCCCAGTCATTGTTTTGGAAGCTGATTTTTTTGAGCCTCATTTAGTCATATTCCTTATTCAGCCAGTCTCTAGTGAGAGACTGGAGTAGCTCAGTGTAGGACAGCAAATGTTCGTAAGAATTTTCTTGGGGGAACAGGACAGGAGCCTGGAACTGTGGCCTTCAGTCCCACACAGTACTGAGACTGTCTTTCAAAACTTAGTGAAAAGATACTGCCTGAAGCTCCAAGCTCTACCTCAGTAGCCCCAAGGCCTCTGACACTCAGTGTGGGCAAGAGAGCTTGGTGACCACAAAAGCATGAACTTCATCCTTAGCTCTAAAGAAGGTCCCGGGTTTCGGCCAGACGTGCACCTCATTGGGCTTCACTGGCTCAGCTGATAAAGCATCCCCCTGCAATGAGGGAGACCTGGGTTTGATCCCTGGGTTGGGAAGACAACCCTGGAGAAGGGAACAGCTATCCACTCCAGTATTCTGGTCTGGAGAATTCCAAGGACTAACATCCATGGGGTAGAAAGGAGTTGGACACAAGTGATCGACTTTCACTTTCACTCTCATCTTCAGTTGTAGCCAGTATGTTAGGAAAGATAGAGAACTTCTCAGAATGCCTTAAATATTTGGTAATTAGCACAGTTCGGGTTTACAGCTCATTTCCTTTAAAGACAGTGGCATAATGGGAAAGAAGGCAGTAGACCTGAATAGGCCCTACCCCTGCTGTGACACTTAGCCTCTCACCTCAGCACAGTCCTCCACAGCCATCCACAAAATCATGAAACTACTCCAGACCTGGTGAGTTGACTATCTTATGGGGTCTGGGCCCAGGCATCTGCTGCTTTAACATCTTTGGTTTGGACCTTAGTTCTCATGTGATAAGGAGGGTCGGTTTATCCAGGTGATCTTAAAAAAATCCTTGCTCTAACCTTTCTGGTTCTGTGACCCTGGCTCTAATTTGTCTTGGTATGTTGTCGACAGATACTGACCATACCTGCTTGCAGGTCCAAGGTTGCCCAGTCTCAGTAGAATTCAATTATTATGAAAATCCAGTTTATGAGAACATCACTACACAGAAGGAGGCAGTTTAGCTCCTTTTATGTCCAAGCAGAACATTGGCTCCCACCCACAGACAGAAAGTAATTATGGTTTGATTTGAGGCCTCAAGGCAGAAGGTAGACCAGCTCTGCCGGCAGCAACTTCACAGAAAAGCTGCAGTTCACAGTGAGGCCAGGAGAGGGAGGCGTGGCCAGAATCATCCAGGAGCTAGTTAGTTCCAGAAGGGAATTAGTGAATATTTCCTTCTTCGTCTAATCTCCAGAGTATCAGAGTACTGATGTGTTTGGCAAAACAGTTACCCTGGTGATTCTGATCCTTTTAATTGGGATTAGCTGCTTGAGAGGAACTCAAGCAGCCCAGCTAGATTCACAAATAGCTTCTTCATTCTCAGCACATGGTGACTTGCTAGCAGGCTCACCCCAGACTCGACGCAATGCTCTTTCCTTTTTGATTTACAGATAACTGAAGTTTAGGGCACTTTGCTACTTTAAAAGCATAAAGGGAATATTTCACTCCATTTGGTAAGGCTGTTCTTTTTTCATAGGAAAAAAAGCTATAACCCTTTAGTTGTTATGGCTAGCTTACATAAGCATAACATCTAATAATTTTCTCAAGGTGTTTACTCCATAAATTCACAGGTGAACCACAGAGCCACCCTTTGGAGTGTTATACTTTGTCCTCAGGTGATCCAGAGGCCTGGCCAAAGGAGACAACTTACCCATTGGTAAACAGGCCTAAACTGAGATGAGTAAAGGCCTAGGGTCCTCACCTCATAGGGAGGTATACAAACCAGATTAAACTCTACACTGGAGGCTACCACAGTGTGTTGGGAAAGTACTAGATCTCAGATCGGGAGATTTAGGTTTGAATCCTGAGTCTATTGTTCCCTAATTTTGCAACCCTTCCATCACTAGCTCCTTTATTATAAAAGGAGAGTAATATCTCAAAGGGTTCTCATGACAGCTTAATGAAGTAATGATGTCATGCAGTTGACACATTATATGCCCCCACTAGGCACTCAACAACAGGCTTTGGTGGTCCCTAGGTGTCAGGTGTGTGAAGATAAGACACCCTTGAGAAGATTAGGGTAAGAGAGGAAAATAGAACAAAATGGTGAAGTGGAGTCAAGTATTAAACGACTGTCCATTGGGGCATTATCTGAAAAATGATACTGGTATGGTGTCTGCTTTAGCTATTTATTTTCTAGTGTGGTAAAAAGAAGAGAAAAACTGTCTTCAGTGCTTACGTCGTACAGAATATTCTTATTTACAGTCTTTTTATCAGTGTTCTAGACCTTGGCTGTCCTAAGAGAACTGTGTTAAGGAAGCCTTGGGCCTGTTGAACCTTTCAAGGAATGCCTTTTTCTCTTGCCCCCACACACCCCAATTTAAGGAAAAGGAGTGTTCCATAAAAACTGAACATAGGAGGAGACCTGCATTCTCTTTTTCATGGAAGAGTTCATTTCATTCCTTTGCAGGCACACTGAGGAACATGTTGAAGTATGAAAATAGTGGTAAGTTTGACATTTTTAGATGCAATTAGAATTATTTTTTCAGTATCTGTTGCTCATATGTTTTATTAAACTCCTAGTCACTGCATATAGACAGGTAGAAGACATACAGAACTAAATAAAATACTAACATCTGATGCACAATAGAGTGTGGTATAGTGGCAAGGAAGATTATGTGCTTTCTACATGATTAAGAAGCTTAACATTACTCTGCCCAAGCAAGAACGCAAACCCCATCTGTTACGATTTTTGCAGGCCATCTCCAGTGCAAAAACCTCCAAAAAGAGTGAAACAGTCTTTCAAAAACTTGAATTTGTTCATCAGGAGCATTGTACTAATGATTCAAAGGATTACTGGAAAGATTAAATGAGATAATATACTACTTAACAGTAAACAGACATTGTGTCCTTAACCCTCACTGAGGCTTCAATTTCTTTTGCTATTGACCTTTCTAAAACTTACTTTTTTTTTTTTTTTTTTAAATTTTTGGCTAGCCCAGACAAAGTGACAAATCCTAGAGTGGATTTTTAGCTGCTGGCCTTTTGATGCATTTTGGCCTATTTTGCTTCTGTTAAAACAAGCTTTTATTCTGTAGAAAATCTACATTTCTATCTTGGAGAGTATGCCTGGGGCAGTAAATAAGGAACTGGAAGCAAAAGTTTGGCATGTTCTTCACCAGAAAAGATTCCAATTTTGATTCTTACAGTTATCTCACACATTCTTCCTTCCCAAAGGACCCTGACGGAGATGAGCAGAAACTGGGCAGATGCCTCAAGGCAAACCTTGGCTGATTTAGAGACCCATTCGTAAGCTTCTACCCAACTGAAGGTTTATCAGTCTATTCTGCCCCATATTCAGTTCAGTTCAGTCACTCAGTCTTGTCTGACTGTTTGCAACCACATGGACTGCAGCATGCCAGGCTTTCCTGTCCATCACCAACCCCCGGAGCCTGCTCAAACTCATGTACATTGAGTCAGTGATACCATCCAACCATCTTATCCTCTGTCATCCCCTTTTTCTCCTGCCTTCAGTCTTTCCCAGCATCAAGGTGTTTTCCAATGAGTCAGTTCTTCACATTAGGTGGCCAATATTGGAGCTTCAGCATCAGCATCAGTCCTTCCAATGACTATTCAGGACTGGTTTCCTTTAGGATTGACTGGTTTGATCTCCTTGCAGTCCAAGGAACTCTCAAGAGTCTTCTCCAACACCACAGTCCAAAAGCATCAGTTCTTTGGTGCTCAGCTTTCTTTATAGTCCAACTATCACATCCATATGTGACTACTGGAAGAACCATAGCTTTGACTAGATGGACCACTGTCGGCAAAGTAATGTCTCTGCTTTTTAATATGCTATCTAGGTATTAGACGGTGCTTCCTTTGTGGCTCAGCCGGTAAAGAATCCACCTGCCATGTGGGAGACCTGGGTTCGATCCCTGGGTTGGGAAGATTCCCTGGAGTAGAGGAAGGTTACCTACTCCAGTATTCTAGCCTGGAGAATTCCATGGACTGTAAAGTCCATGGGGTTGCAAAGAAGGGCTTACCTGATAGCTCTGTAGGTAAAGAACTGCCTGCAGTGCAGGAGATCCCAGTTCGATTCCTGGGTTGGGAAGATCTGCTGGAAAAGGAATAGGCTACCCACTCCAATATTCTTGGGCTTCCCTTGTGGCTCAGCTGGTAAAGAATCTGCCTGTAATGCGGGTGACCTGGGTTTAATCCCTGGGTTGGGAAGATCCCCTGGAGCAGGGAAAGGCTACCCACTCCAGTATTCTGGCCTGGAGAATTCCATGGACTCTACAGTCCATGGGGTCACGAAGAGTTGGACACAGCTGAGAGACTTTCACTTTCACTAGGTA